GGAGCAGACTGCTTTGAGTTTAACTCCATCGCAGACTCTCATCTTGAGCAAGCATACAGTAAATTCAGCAGTGGAAAGGAAAAACTCACTCGTGAAGAAGACACTTCCAGCAGAACCAGGCTCAGGACAAGCGTCCAGCTGCTTCGACCGGCTGGGTTTGAGAGGATCAGGAAGGAGGAACAGATACACAATGGCAGGTCGAGAATCACAACAACAGTCACAGAGCTGAGGTTCTGTCACTTTTTGACTCTGTTGTGAATCTCTGTGTGGTTCAAACCTCGGTCCAGGGGCCTTTCTGGGTGGAGTTTGCATGTTCTCTCCGTGCATGCGTGGGTTTTCTCCGGGTACTCCGGTTTCCTCCCACAGACCAAAAACATGCATGTTAGGCTGATTGGTAACTCTAAAATTGCCCCTAGGTGTGAGTGGGAGAGTGAATGGTTGTTTGTCTTGTTTGTCTCTATGTGGCCCTGTGATGGACTTGCGACCCGTCCAGGGTGTACCCCGCCCCTCGCACAGTGACTGCTGGACATGGGCACCAGTGACCCCCGTGACCCAAAATGGAATAAACGGGTAAAGAAAATGGATGGATGGATGGATGGATGGATGAATCTCTGTGATGTCATGTTGCTGAATCTCTTGCACTGTGTGAAAAGTTTTAAAGGTTTTAATGAAACAAAAAATCTCTTCTCTGAGACCATCTTCAGCTCATGGTGACACTAACTCTTTTTCACTTCCTTAAACCACAGCTGCCTTCAAACTATTTGAGCTGATTACTTTTTCTGCTTTAAAAGACATTGTGCAACAATGCAGCCTTCCAAATCATCTATAAACAGCATTCCCTCTTGTCTTTTTAAGAACATTTTTCACAACCTTCGTCCATTAGTTGTTGCTCTGATTAACATTCCCTTCACCAGGCTGTGTTTCAGCTGATTTTAAACATGCTGTGGTGCAGCCTCTCATAAAAAAGAGAAGCCTCGGCCCATCAGTTCTTTCAAACTATAGACTAGTTTCAAAACTGCTGTTTCTGTCTAAAGATTTGGAGAAAGATGTTTTTAATCAACTTCAGAGATTTTTAGATGCCAACTCTAGTGAAACATCTAATGTTTTAAATCACAGACAACCCTTTTAAGAGTTTTTAATGATCTTCTTTTAACTGTTGATTCATGTCGTTTTAGTGCCCTTAGACCTTTCTGTTGCCATTGATAGATTTGTTTAGAGTAATCATATTCTTACACCACTGTGTTTAAGGGAGCTTGAACAGATGGCAAAAGAAGAAGAAGAAAGGAGGCATCAAAAGGAAAAGAGGCTGAAAGAAGAGGAGATAAAGAAAAAGTATACAAAAGGAGGAAAAAGGGACATCAGAGCTGTTTCAAGGAAGAAATGCTTGACGAACGAAACACAGGTCTGAATGAATCCCTTCTGTTCACTTTGAAACAAAAACACAGCCAATAAATCTCTGAAACACAAAGACATATATTGTTGATCTTCCAATTGATGAGCAATAATTATTTCATTAAATTTATTTTCAAGTCAAAGGACCCACATCCCCTAGCATATGTAAATTGGGTAGTAAAGGAGTTGATGTATCATATTCATTTGGAAAAAATAAGATATACCCCGAAGGGGTCTGTCAAAAGATTTTGGGACACATGGCAGCTTTTTGTATTGTATGTGGAAAGTATGTCAATGCCTGTTTAATTTGTTTGCGTGTGTTTGATTGATCCAGTGTGGGAGGGAAGTGGTGAGAGGTGAGGTTCTCTGTTCTTTGTTGTTGTGTGTTTAAAAATGAAAATATCAATAAAAATCACTTTGTTAATTTTTTTTTTCTAGTCAACAGTCACAGTGAACATTCAGAGAATATCTTCCTTCAGCAACTCAAAAGAGTCACTCGTGGATGCAAAAGAAGAACCAAATCTGAATGAAGCTGCCGGCAAGTGAAACAGTTTCACTGCTGTTCAGTACATCAGTGGAATACAATGATCTCTTTCATTACTTGCTTTTATTTATTTTTTTCATTTATACAGTGCAGTCAAGCAAAGAAGCAGAGGATCCAATAAAGCAACCAGAAGAAACCAATCCACTACATACAGAGTCTCCTCATCCACCAGACAAAAAAGAAAAGACAAAGGTAAGTTTCTGCTGAGCGTAATAGTGACACATTTCTTAAAATAATGTAACATTTAGCTGCAAACTACTTTCTTCTTTTACCATTTAATGTTTTTCACCTTTCCGGTGCATGAAGAATGACCTCCAGTGTCAGTTCAGTGAATATGAGCAGAGCCAGGTCGAGGTGGAGCACATTTTGCAGCACTGGGACCGGGTCCAGGGCTTATTGCTGGTCCCTGTTCCTTGTAGAGAAACCCATTCAGGTCCAGATGATGCCATGGCAGACAAACAGGTAAAAAGGATCCCTGTCCATTGATTTTAGTTAAATCTAATGAGAAATAAGAGACACTAAGCCGTGCTATTTTTTCACCTTTGGACACAAAATCTTATTAATAAAACATTATAAGTTATAGGAAGTTTTGAGGTGCAATCTTATCATTCATTAATGTCAAACTAAAAATATTAGTAGAATAAAAATACAAGTTGGTCTTCTATGTACCTTCCTTGTAATTAATTTGCTTAGCGTTCCTTGACCACCTCATGAAAATGGTGGAGAAGTTACAGAGTTGTAGCCATTTGGTCAAACTTTGAAATTAAAGGCTGATTTGTACTTCATCAGATATGCCAAAATGCTTTCTCGCTGATGTGGTGTGACAAAAATTATGTGTTTTTGTTCTTGCACCGCCTCCAAGAACTGGTTTTGTGCACAATCCCCTGTCAGGAGTGATGTCTTGCAGGGTACATGCCAAGTATTGTGTTAATACAATACAAAACAATACAACTTTATTTATAAAGCACTTTAAACAACACCGTTGGCCAAAGTGTTGTACACTAACACATACAAGCATAAAAACTATGAACTCAACAAATACCATAAAAGTAATAAACTACCAAATCATAAATCAGCAAACAGTAACAAACATTTCAAGCTGTGTTAAAAGCCAAAGAGAAAAATGAGACTTCAGAGCAGATTTAAAAACAGGAAGTGAGTCAGCTTAATGGTCAGAACTTCATGGGCGTGTTTACGCGGTTGACGTACAATGTTCTCATTTCACTTCAACTGCTTCACTGAGGATCCATTGGCCAAGGCTGTTGGAAAGTAGTCATCTTTACATCTGTTCCAACAAAACTTATAAATATTGTCAAAGAACTCTTGGAAGGAGAGAGCACAATTTCTGTACATGGAGGAAACAGTGCAGAGACACAGGTGGCTCTCCATGGTGGTTCTCACTGGAAGGGAGTAAACTTACACAGTACATAGCATGGAGACGCACGTTAGGTTTGCTTGGTATTATGCACCGTCTGTCGGAAACCGTGTTGGTCTATGTGACAAATTTACCACTTGTCCTCAGTTAACTATAGAAACCTCCAACTCCTCCATCATCAAGTGAAATTTTAAACATCCACTCTGCCAACTGCTCTGTTGCTGTGTATTTTCTGATCGTGTGAGAAGTGTGCTACAGTGGGAGGGCCTACCAGAACTTCATCCCCGCTGTTTCTCTTGGAGTATAAAATGTCCTTGCGAAAAAGAACGTCTCACAACCACGTCAGCAAGGTCATATCTCTTACAGCTTGTGAAATATAAATCAGCCTTAACGTTATGCATTATAATGATATCTCACGTTGAATATGCACTATGAATTATTCTCAGCCACAACTACACTAAATTTTAACTCAATATTTGTCAAATTTATTGAGTTATAGACATTTTTTTATGTTTTCTAATGTCAGTTGGCTGTGGCAGCCATCTTGTCTCAAAAGCTTAATCAGTTGTAGATGTACAACTACTAATCCCTTTCTAAAAATATCAATAAAATGTATCCACAGGTTTATAATGTAGTTTGGTTGCAGACAGACACACCAACACAAATATAGACACAGGCAAAACATCATCGTCCATATTTTGCCTTTTGGCAGCAGGCGATAGATAACTAACAAAGACAAGCAAGTACAACATCAGTATTATAATGTCAGGAAGCCAATATTCTCTTCCTTTTTTACAGGCTCCTGCTGCTAAAAGGACTAAGAAAAGTAACAGTAAGATCATATCTCCTCTACTCAGTCAACCAGCAGCTGTAGACAACAGCAAGGCAGGAGATACAGAGTCTTCTCCACTCACTGTCCCTCACATAGTCCTGAATGTAACAGGAAGCTCCTCAGAGCTGCTGAATAACGGCTCCCTGCCTCCTCTAGAAGAGGTATGTCATGATCCAAGATTTCTTCTCCTCAGATTGAATTCCACTTCTGTTTTTGACTAGTTTTTATGCTTTTTATGGATTTGTAATCCATGTTGTTCTCTGCTTTTCTTTCTATAGGTTTTGGATAATTTAGGGTTGGGGCCAAGCGACCCTCCTATCCTTCCTTTGACTACCTTCTCCGTTGTTCCTTTCCCGAAACTCAGAGAACAATTTAAGCCCCAACAGACTTGTTTCACCTTTCTGGGTCCATCAGTGGTGGATGAGGAAGAGGAGAAGAAAGACACTGTAGAGGATACACCAGCAAAGGTAATGTTATTTTTCTACACCAGCACACGTGTGTTAGAGTGTTCTCAGTAATCAGTGTCCATCTGAAAACATTTGACATACAGACAGCCAGTTTCATTAGGATCACACCAGTTTATAGCATTAAGGGTTCCAACAAAACAGCATCATCACATTGTGAATACCACCTGTTTAATAATTCAGAAACTAATTACATTACAAGCCAATGTTCCCTTTTTATATGCTTTTCGAAGAAGGGAAATATTATGGTATATTCTCTGTCCGTCAGTAAAACTTTCTCTTGTCCCGACCATAACTTTGGATCTGCTCAAGATTCTTTCTGTTAGGAGTGAGTTTTTCCTTTCCACTGTTTCCTTTGTGCTTGCTCAGAATGGGAGACTATGACGAAGTGAAAATTCAACTCGGTCTGCTGGCTTCCTTATAAAATAACTTTTACTAATTGGCTTTTAGAATGTAGGTGATTGTTTTTGTACAGTTCCCTGTGACAACTTCTGTTGTGACTTGGCACTATCTAAATAAACTGAATTGAATATACACATCACCACCTGCTTCAAGGTCAAGGTCACAAATCAAGGTCAAAGTTAAAACACCGTCTTTGCTTTTGTCACCTATAACTTCTGATCTGTTAAAGATCTGTTGAATTAAATTTCATTCACACAAGCATCATCACTAGACAAAGTGTCAGGTACACCTTCATGAGACACGCTCTAAGATCAAGGTCACAAATCAAAGTGAAATTTAAAACAGAGTCCTTGCTTGTCCTGTCCAAAACTTCTGGACACCTAAGATAATTTAATGAAACGATACAAATAAGCATCATCTCTAGCTGGACAGTCACACTCACTTTTCATGACACCAGCTCCAAGTTCAAGGTCACAAATCAAGGTCAAATTATATACAAGGTATTTTGCTTGTCCAGGCTATTGCTATAGATTGCTGTATTGCTGTTTAATAGTGTCATGTTCTGTAGTGTGGTTGGACCCAAGTTGCAGCCAGGACTCGGGAACTCGAGACTAAGATAAGGAATATTTGTTAATATAAACAAAAAGCACTGACTTGGCAGCAAAACTTACATAAATGATGAGAAGACACAGAGAGAGGACGGAGCATGACACCGTACAGGACAATCCACAAACAGGGGAACAATAAGGAAATGCAGAATATATAAAGACACTGACGAGGGGATAAACACAAACACCTGGGGAAGGACAACAGGTGTCAGAGGCAGGAGCTGATTACATGAGGGAAAAACACTGAGGAGGGCAGGACAGATAACACAAGGATCACAAAACACACACAGATCCTCTCAAATAGGTTGTCAGTGCATGCATAATGTGACGCATATGGTACTCTTGTTACACTTTTGCGTGCATTTCAGCCTATACACCAACCTTGTGTATTAAGTGTTACTTGTATTCAATTACCTGGTTATGACTTTAGTAATTATACGGTAGTTTCTAATTATTACATTTTGATTATCTACTGTTACCATCTTATCGAGCAATTGTAATGTAAACTGGCACCCAAATATCTGATTTATGTTTGTGCTTTTTGTGCACAAAGGAAAAGACAGTCTCTAGAAGCCACAAGAGAAGCATCAAGAAGACCTCAGTGGTGAAAGAAAAAGAAAAAAGGGGCAGAGAGAGCGAGAAGAGCAAGTTTGATGGAGCTTGCTTGCTTTCACAAACCTCCTCTGCTTCTGAATTAACTGACCAGACTCAGCACCAAAGACAGTTGGAGCTGAAACGCAGCCAGAGGCAAGTAAAACCTCACACCAACAAACTCTACAAATAAGCTTCTTGTATGGACTTTTGCTAACTGTCTGACTGTGTGCTTTTGTTATTTAGCCTGACTGCATTTCGCTGGATTGTACCAGCTGGAGGTGAAGTTATTCTGAAAATCTGGTTCTATTCAGAGTCCCCAGGAGTGTTTGAGCAGACCTTTAATTTTGAGCTCGCAGGGAGCTGCAAACATTACCAGCTCACCTGCAAAGGCCTGTGCACCTATCCCTCCATCTGCAACAAATACACGTCAGTTTGCTTGATTTAATAAAAATATAACTTGAAAAAATTGAAGATAAATGGTAAAATGGAGCTGTTTTATGTGTTCAAAATATTTTACCATGACATTCTCAAACATTAGTATCTTATTGTGCAGCCAGTGCAGTTCATCTTCTGTTCATGTGTTCATCAAAGTTTCCTTCAGAGACAATTTTGAGCTTAAAGCCTGGACTGAAAAGTTTTGTAATATACATTTTTCAAAGCAAACTGTCAAATCTGTACATGAAGCATCAGTATAGTATCCTCAAACAAACAGGAAAGCATTACATAAATCTACATTTTAAACAAACGTTGCGTCAAATCTGATTCCACAGGACACTTTTTGCACACAGTAAGAAGGTGCCACAAGAAAAGGAAGGACTTCAGAAGTCCTACATCATTAAAGCTGAGTACTTTGAGTTTGGACCTTTGCTGTGCAGTAAAACCAGAGACAGGTGAGAGACAGAGCAGTGGGAGTCAATGGGCTGCATGTGTTCGTATCAGTTATTATCGTTTCACTCAAAGAGTTCCATCTGTGTGTTTAGATTCAAGAAAAATAAATATCCTGAGAATTCAGAGAGGCTGGTAATTCATAACAATTCTGGTTTAGAAGCAGAGGTCAAGTTCAGTTTTCTTCAGGACACCCAGGCCACTACATATCTGCTGGACCCCCCAACAATGACCCTAGCACCTTGTCAAAAACAGGTATCATCCCTTAAATAACTGTGAATTACTTAATTTAACAAATGTACCAACAGTTGAACATTTGACTTTTCTTCCTCGTTAGGAGCTGACAGTTTGGGCCTATCCAACAAAGCAGGGACAAATAAAGGACAGTTTAGTTTGTAAAATCAAAGACAATTCTGAGGATGTAATAATCAACTTCTCCTGCTGGGGTGTCCGCCCAGAGCTGGAGCTGGAGAGCAAACATCTGCACTTTGGCAAAATTCTTTTCCAAAGGTACTGAAACAAACCCACAAAAAGCAGACCTCATATTATATTTCATTTTCAGAGGCAAAGGCAGCAGGTGATCTGCATTATTTTAAACCAACGTTCAACTTCATTATTATGTTCTCGTTGTATCTCAGTGCAGTGATAGTAAAGCTTATTCTGATTCTGATTCTGAAAGCCGTAAAGAAGAGTATCGTGGGGTAAAACATAATTTATGTAAAACACTAGTTCTTATCAGTTTGACAAATTAAAAAAATCTTTGATTTTTTTTAAATAAATGAGAAGCTGTTGTTGTTTTTTTTAATTCTACTCATTATATTTTCTTTGATTTTTCTCCACAGGAAGCACAGTTGTAGCGTGATGATGCATAATAAGACGGCTCTTCCAGTATCTTGGAGGCTGCAGGGGGTGGAGGATTTGGGAGAGGAATTTGTGGTGCCACAGGCTCAGGGTGTCATCTCATCGCATTCATCCTTTCCTTTCACCGCATGCTTCCATGCCAAAAGGCCCGTTGTCATTAAAAAGATCTTACGTCTGGAGGTAAAGTAAAGCTTTAAAGATGCTTGTGATGAAAACAGATTTATGCTTGATATGCATTTTCTAAGCACCATCTGAATATTGCTGTTGGCAGATTTCAGACTCGTACAGTTTTCGATTACGTGTGTTTGTGTTTCAGGTATCTGACGTGGAAAACATTCTGGGAATTGTGCAAACAGAAAACATACAGGTCACTGCTGAAGCTTTCGATATAAATCTGGAGATCACACCAGGTACAAACTGTAAAACCCTACGTAAATAATTAAATTAAGCATTATAAAAATCAATATAGAGAAAAGCACACAAAAACAAAATGATTATATAATAATTTTGATTGACACTGAAGTAATCCCTGCAGATGTTCTCTGTCTGATGGTCTGCTGGTAGTTTTTTTTTTTGCAGACTGTCCTCTGGTTGTGCTTTACTAGTTTGTGGAAGGGAACAAACCGCAGCCAGTGATTATCACAAGAACAATAAAAACACATCCAGGTTCACAAGGTTTATATCAGATTTTCAGACAAACTAATCTGTGCAGTAGCAGTTATATCGAGGTGGCTGAAGTGTCCATTTGTGTTTCAGAATGTTGAAACTTTAAAAAAGTAACGTGTAACTTGTATTTTTATCTCCTAAAGATTAATTCTGTGGTTGGTCTCTTTTATTTAAATTTTGAACACTTCAGCCTCTCCCCACGTCACTCTCCAACTTGTTGTTATTGATTGAGTGAATAACTGCCAAGTTTTAATGTTTTCTAAGCAAAAAGGAAAAAATAGCTTATTCTGCCTTTAGGTTTTTAAGTTACAGCCTTGGAGCACTCTTAACCTCGACATCCAGAGTTTTTCTGACACAAGCAAAACAAGATTTATGAAATAAGAAATGGTGAGACAATGATTGGGGGAAAAAAAAAAACAGGCATTACCAAGCAGTATTTAATGCTTTTATATTTCTATTTAAACATTCTATTCAAATCTTCTGTATGTGATTACAGTTTGTAAATGTAAAATGTATATAGTTTTTATTCTGTCACTGTAGTACATTTGAGGAATTGTGATTTTTGTGATCTGTTTTGTTGAGTTTAAAAACTAATATAACAACAAGTATGTTTACAACTTGAAAACTAGTGACAATAAACATAGCTTTTTTTGTTTTCTTGGGTTCAGACCATGTAGCACTCTGTAGTCATTAAAGAGACAAACAAACCCAAAATGAAGACCTAAAATAAGACAAATAGAGATGTTTTCCACTGTAATTGGTGACCTCACCAGTAGGTGTCTAAATCAAACTGGCCCTTTAATACAGTTCCCAAACATTTGTAGCTCACAACCCAAATAAACATAGATATAATGACAACAGTTTTATCAGTCACAGTATCATTTGTACTAAGTTATGATGACTGTTTTTATTCTTTGTAACCATTATGTAAACCATAAGCACTCATGTTTTAATATAAGTTAGTATCTAGAAATGATCTTCCCCCTGATGACATGACATGACCTACAATGGAGTCCTGATCTCTACGTTGGGAACTACTGCTTTGATACATCTTTCACTCGATCCCTTTCTCTTTCTGTTTGTCTTGGTTTATTTCTGATGGATCGAGTCACATCTCAGGCCCCAATATAAAAACTGGAAATATAGTAGAAGTTTGCTCCTGTTCTGCAGAAGAAGCAGCTTTGGACTTTGGAACCATCAGAGTCTTTGAAGAAACCAAACTCTCTCTCAGACTTGTAAACAGTGGAAAATATGAATGTTTCTTCAAGTAAGTTTGAACAGTTCATTTTTTTTCTTTATAATGTTTTCAGTTCCACGTCGAGCTGTTTTCATTTCACTGAAGGAGTATTATTCACTTCATTTTTGTTTCTTTCCATGAGGTGTACAACTGAGCAGACCAACCCACCTCTTCCAAACCTGGAGTCCATTTTTATGGTGTCTCCACCGAGCGGCACTGTGTTGCCCAATAAGAAGTTTGTAACACTGCTGTTCACCTGCAAACCTGATAAGGAGGTTTTCATCAAAGAACAGCCCGTGCTGACTTGTCAGGTGTGGGGGTAGATTAAACCCAAAGATGGTTGGTAAAAGCTGTTTTGACTGAGTGTGAAATGAAAGGTTAAGTTTGGTTTCATTTTCAGGTTGGTTCTTTAAATGAAGGAAAACAATAAAAGTTAAACTACTGACAGATTGCTCTATTGCAGCTGTGGTGCAGTGGTAGACTTGGAACCAGAAAGTCACAGGTTCAACTCCCTGCTATGCTCAAATGTCGTGGTGTCCTTGAGCAAGACACTTTATTCCCCAACTGCTCTCTGGGCAGCTTACATAGCTGCTCGCTGCACCACTTGGGTGTATGTCACATGTAATGGAATAAATGGAGAGGACACATCATCATCAGCCTCTGTCTTCACTCCAGCTACACGCATGTCCTCTCTAACTGCATTTTATCACACCCTAAAAAGTCAAAATATTTTATGTCTGCTAGCAACCTGTTAGTGTGTGGCTGCATCTAGGCCTAAAAAAAGGTCACTATCAAAAATCGCTCCTCAGGATCCGTCACTCTGCGCTGCCTCAGCCGAGCAAAAACATGACCTTCATGATCTTTATAAATGTAAGATGTGGGCTCAGCAGAAGTAAAACCATCTCAGTGTATTGAGGGGGAAAACAGTTTTAAACAAGTGCTAAAGAAATACAATTGTTGAATAAGCTTTTATTTTTTATTGTGGCTTTTGCTTCTTAAACATAGTGTTATTGAGGACATAAGTTAATTTGTAACTTTTTTGTTTACTATAGGTTAAGTAACTAAAAGATGCCAGACTGCTTGTTTAGCCTAAAATCAGAGCTTTGTGAAGTGAAAATGATTTGAACACAAGGGTAACTGACGTAATCTTCTGCAGGTTATTGAACCCAGCCTTGGAAAAGGAGAAGAATGCATAGCCAAAATAAGCTTCAAGACATCAGTCCAGGCTGTTTTTTCCAGGTTGCTGATATATTAAATTTTTTTTATTTATTTGTGGTCCATAAACATGTTGACATCATTACAGTCAGTCCTTATTTTGTGCTGGAAAGTTAATCAATTTTATCTTGTTTTAAGCCTTCTGTTATCTTATATTTAGAGAGGGTTGTGATAAACTTATGTCTGGTTTCTCTTAGATACAAGATCTCTCCTGCGTGTGACATTGACTTTGGGCCTCTGGTTTACGGCACCAAGAAAACCCAAAGCATTACGATAGAAAACACTGGACATTTCCCGATTGGTTTCACCATTACTCACATGGTTTCAAATCTGGATCTTCGAAAAATGTATGGATAAAATGGCATATCTATCTATCTATCTATCTATCTATCTATCTATCTATCTATCTATTTATCTATCTATCCATCTATCCATCTATCCATCTATCCATCTATCTATCTATCTATCTATCTATCTATCTATCTATCTATCTATCCATCCATCCATCCTTCTAGTACATGAACTTGAATGATACAGAGTGTAAAATGTTTTCACCTGTCATGAATACCTCTAAATATTTCCACTGTTTGAAAATAATGGCAAGTTGATGACCAGTTCATTGTTTTAAAACCAAATTAAAAACATAAACTGTAAAAGATTATTTTATTTTTATAAAACAGAGCTTTTAACCCTTTGACTCTGATTTCAGTTATCCAGGTAAGATGATATGCAGAGAGAGTTTTTCTGCCAAGTCCACTGGTGCCAGTACCAAAATCAGGCAGGAGCCTCTTCAGAAAGAATCAAATAATCATCAGGTAAAATGCTCTTGAAAGACCAGCACCAACTGACAGCACAATACTGTACGTTTACAGTGTTTCTGCTGTGGTTAAACATTTATATTGCTTAAATAAAGCTGTTTATTTTTGTCACCTTATAGCTGTTGCATGGTTATTGATTTATATGAAAAATTGTTTTCGGAAGGTTTTATGTTTTTTGTAAGTGATAATTTAACTGCACAACACAATCAAAGGATAAAAAAAAAACTATAATCATGTTGATGTGTGATGTTAAAAATGATTTTTATACTATCTCAGTAACTGACCATTTTATTCTCCTCTATATGATTTTTTTTTTCTTGCGTTGCCTTCAGAACCACCTCACAACGGGGCTGTTCTCGGTGTCTCCCTGCAGTGGATCCATACAGCCGAAGTCTCAGCAGCAGGTGACGGTGGACTGTGTGGCTGAGCAGCAGGGCAGCTGGAACCAATGTCTGCTCATAGACATCAGCGGCCGGGACCCCACCCTTCAGCCTGATGGGTTGCAGTACAGACTGCTGGCTGAAGTCTTTAAACCAAGTGAAAGAATTTGAAATTTGTCCCACTAATAAGAATATGACTGATTCCAACTTTTTAAAAATATAATTTATGTTCATAACTTTACATCAGAGGCAGTTAATAGGCAGCAAGTGAGTAATATAATTGGGTACAAAACATATTCCTGAATGGCTAACAAATAGGAAGAACTGCTAGTTGGGAAAAATAACACAGCAACCCATTCATGTTGTTACACATTGAATCATGGGCGTTGGATTACAGGGTTCCCAGTGACTCTGAAAATCAGGGAAAACTTGGAAAATGACTCACATTTCCCAGACAGATCAGATCAGATCAAAACTGTCCCTCCAGCAGAAAGCAAGTTTGCCTTCTGGGTAGTGTACTGTTGCCTTGTGGATAATGTAGTCTTTTAGACTGGCGATACAGTCAAGCTTATTGAGAGAAAACCACAAAATGGTGGCGCTTCTTTTTTTGTTGTTGTGTACAGTCTTGCATATCAGTACTTATCAGCACTGTACTTTGAAAAACCGCAAAAAAGCGAGTCCACAAAAGTTGAATCGTGAAGTTGCAAGGGACTACTGTACCCTCTATATTTTGTACACTGATAATTTTTTTTCCATAAACACAAACATCACTGTTATTACCATATTAGTAAATAATAGCAAATGTTTTCCCTGTTAAACCAAGGTTTGTGTCGTTAATCTGGTCCTTGAATATTTTTTATTTAAAAATCTGAGTAAGCACTTTGCTCCCTTCGCACTGATGCAAAGAAGATGAACATAAAGTAAGGTTCAGAAAAAACCCAGACTTGTTTATATCTGTTTATTTAAAATGGACAGAGGCAAAGTGAGTGGTCATATTTAGCACCATATGTGGTCCGATAGCTCAAAAAATGGGCGTTTATTTAATAATGATTATAAATGTTTATAAAACGTGTCTGCCAGGCATAAATAACCATTTATTATTAGTAAAAGTCAGCATTTCTTATGACATCTTGGTGAATTAGGTCACAAAGCATGGGTAACTTTCATGTTTACAAGACTTTATAAATGTTGAACCATGTTCACAGGTTTTACTGTAGATATACTTGTTTTTTAATGACTGTTTTTAGGGAAGGTCAGCAAGCAATTATCTATCAACATTCTGCACATATAGTAAAACTCCAGTTCCTTCAGTAATGACTCGTCAGCCACTGAAACTTTTAAGACATTATTTAAAAAAACTAACTACAAGTCATCCTGAACAGCTGAATGTATTTCATTCTCAAAGCATTTCGTTACTCATCTTTTCGTTGTTTTGTTTCCCAGGCATTCTGTTAGACATGGCCTCCATATTTGAGGAACACTTTCTGTGCCACAACAGTGACCAGCTGTCCTCAGAGCAGTTCTGTGATGCTGAAGGCATTTATGTCCTGAAAGAGAACAGGTTCACCTTCAACAAAGTCCTGATTGGGAGAACCGCTCAGGCCCGCTTCCGACTGACCAACACCAGTAAGATCTCCTGCAGGCTCAACTTGGCCATCAAATATGCCCACGCTAAGGTGAGACTTATAACCTTCTGGTAGCTATAGCTTTAAATGCAAACTGAAGCCAGAACATCTAAAATAGATGTTTTTGTTTGTATGTCAGATGCCACGACATATGGAGGTGTTTGGCCTGCTTGCTACAAGTCTGAACATCCCCGCTCAGTCACATGCATTTGCTGTGGCCACCTTCACACCACAAGTCTTGCAGCATTACAGCGCTGCGTTCGAAGTCACAGTAGAAGGACTTTCCAGGTGAAATACTGCATTGTTGTGTAAACATCTGTGCTGGGATCTGAATTAAAAACAAAACTGTCACAGCTTTTAAACTGTAATTTCTCTGCTGTATCCAGAACGACACCAACATCCAAAAACAGGACGCTAGAGTTTGAGTTAACAGGAGAAGGCATTCTGCCCAGCGTGTGTGTGGTCCATCCAGCTCTAGAAAACAGTGAAGGAAGCCCAGTGATACAATTTGGACAGGTTTTGGTGGGCCAAAGAAAAACCTTGCCTTTGGTTCTGCTAAACGATGGGAACGCCCCCGCTCAGGTGGGAAGAAGCACAACACTGCCCTTTTTATTCATAAAAGGGATCAATGTATATATAGTCGAGTCAAATTTATTTATCAAACGCATTTAAAACAGCAGTTGTCGCCAAAGTGCTTAAAACTAAAAGGCAATGGCGGTAATTTTAAGAAAAAAAATAGCAAAAAAAATTATCAAAGGCATCAAAAGAAAAGCCAAATCAAATCACACTGTGTTAAAAGTCAGTGAAAACCAGTCTGTTTTTAAATCTCATCTTAAAACCTATCTTTTTCCGCAGGCTTTTACCATGTGAGATGTTGAATTCATTATTGTTATTTATTTATTTGATTTTTCTTTAATTGATTTAATTTTTATAATTGCATAGCTGCTTATGTCTTTTTAATCATTTTTTGTTTGATTTTTTAATCCTTTTGTGCCTTTTCACTTGTCTGTACAGCACTTTGGTCCTCTAAGGCATTTTTTAAAGTGCTTTATAAATAAAGTTGGATTGGTTTGGATTGGAAAAATGCATTTAATTGAATAAAACTATTTTAGTTTGAAGACATTTTATGATAAACATTAGAGTTGACATAAATTTGATAGAATTTTGTAAACAAATATTTTGTGTAATTGTTGTGTAGGTCCAGATTGAAATGCAGGATAAACATGGTGTGTTCACCCTGCAAGCTGCTTCTGAAAACATCAGTGTTCAGTCCACTCAGCTGAAAGACGCATCTAAAACTGGTAAACTGATCTTACATGGGAAATACTTATTCATCTTTTACTTTAAAATTATTCTGGTTTCAGAAACTGCAGTTTTCGTTATTTCTCAGAGTTGTAGTTCTTTCATCATCCATATTCTCATCTACATGTACACTGTGACCCAAACTTACTTTTCACTCCTAGTTGTAAATCCAACGCATTGAAGCACCTTTATTACCATTCCATTAAAGACCATTTGTTCTGTATTTTGTCATCCTTCTTCTTCTTTTTCTTCTTTCAGCTTTTCCCTCTTCAAGGGTCGCCACAGCGAGTCATCCTCCTCCATCTCACTCTGTTCTCTGCATCCTCTGTTCTCACTCCAACTTCCTCCGTGTCCTCTCTAACTGCATCAAGTATTTTGTCATCCAATTTTAAAATAAAACATGCAAATTAGACATAACAATGTTCACCTCAACTAGGAAAAATATGACTTTTGGTAGCAGTATATTGCACAACGTAGACACAATTTGCAAAATTCTGCACAAGAAAAACAATGATATTCAATGGGATTTTGGTTTAATACTTGAGAAAATCAAATCCTTTTTGGAGATTTATAACTTAGTTACACTTGACGGTAGAATCATCATTCAAAGTTTAAATGGCTCACAGAAAGTTGGACTTTATATATCGGAACTGGCATTTGGATATCTTACAGATTTTACACAATCACAGTTTTTTTTTATGATTTTTACAGGTTTTTCCATAGAATATCCACTGAAACTTGATGATGTTGGAAATGTAGCTTTTGAAATGTCTAAATATTTCTAAATTTGAGCAACCTTTCTAACTTTAGCAGCACGGCGGCTCAGTGGTTAGCACTGTTGCCTCACAGCAAGAAGGTTCTGGGTTCAATCCCCGGTTGGACCTGGGGTCTTTCTGTGTGCAGTTTGCATGTTCTTCTCGTGCTTGCGTGGGTTTTCTCCGGGTACTCCGGTTTCCTCCCACAGACCAAAAACATACATGTTAGGCTGCCTTCAGGCCCAGGCCTCCCTTGCAGAAGAGATCTGTGATCTCAATGGGATTTGCCTGGTTGAATAAAGGTTAATAAATAAATAAATAAACTCCATCCACTTTTACTGTTTATACATCAAAACATAGATATTTTTGTCATCTTTCACCTCATGTCTCTCACTGCTGCCAGATGCGGATTTCTCTCATGTGTCTCCAGAATGCACAGTGCTCAGTCAAGCTTCATTTAGATCTTATTTCTAAATAATTCATTCAAAACTGGAAATGAAGCTTCTCTTTAAATCATATGTAAAAATCCATGTGTGACCATCAGAGGCATTTGCTGCTCGTAAGTTAAATACTTCATAAATTTTAGTTTCATTCATAGCTTTTACACGACCATTTGAGCTTACTATTCAGTCTGTGGTTTTGTCTGCAGCTCATTAACTTGGCAGTCAGGGAGTGAGAGACACACATATGAGCCACTGGCAACAGCTTTAACATTTCTTTTGATCTTGGTTGTCTTTACACTTACACATTTCATGCAGCTCAGGTTATTACAACACTGATGCTTGAATTTTGGGCTGTGGCTGCACTGGCAGCCTTCCACATTCCTTCAGAGTTTTCTAGTCCAGTTTCACTCCCACCTGAAAATTCAAAGTGAGCCCTTGGGTCATAATTTAAAATAGCAAAGGGGTGGAGGGTAAAATATGTACCTACAAAACAGGACACACTTACAATATGCTAATATGTCACCAGCTATTTATTCTTGATTTTATGTACACAATCCTAACAGGTTGTTTTTTTTTCTGAAGTTCTAATGAACCACTTTTAGCATTTTTGTGTTTCACTGAGACTTACAGTTTCTGGAAGGCTGTAATTTCTTGTTCCAACAGTTCTTTATCTGTCTTTAAACTGCAAATAGGGCAGTAATGGTGAAGAAATAGTAATAAAGGAGACAACAGTGTTAATAACAATATCATGCATTTAACATTTACCATAGCAGCAAGGTGTCAGTGTTAGTGAGAGTTCACCTGTCTTAGTTTTCGAAACATCTCGTAATCAGCTGAGTTGCTGCCAAACGCATCCTGTTTATACATGTTTTTAGATTCACCCATTCTTTTCTCTCTTTACTTTATGTCCAACTTCCAAATATGTTGTCAGCAGTTTTATTTATCACTTTTTTTTTACTGCAACAATACAGATTACTTGCGTCAGTCATTTATAATTAGTAACCCAATTGAATTAAAGGTACCCATTGCAAACTATGAAATCAAATGTAATTTCTCATTTTGGTGATTGTTTTTGGCTAAACAAGTTTCCTTGTTCTGCAGGGAGTCAGCTGGAGCACAGCTCCCATCTGAAACTAAAACCAAATGAACAGGTGAGTTTTGAGCTCAGCTTCTGCTCAGACAAACCTGTGGCTATAGAGGCAAAGCTAACAGTGAAGGTGGAGGACAATCAGTATAACCCTGGGATACAAGTGACAGGAGAGGCTTACTGGAAAATCTTTTCGCTCAACAACATTACAACATCGACAACATCTCTGCTGGATGGTAGTCGGAAAGATAAAGGTATGAAAATTAGGATGAGCATCAAACTGATTAGAGAAAGTGTGGTATAATGAAAAAAGTTTTAAAAAGTGTACAAATTTTGCTCTAAGTTGACCTTAAAGGCCAGTTTCTGTGTCCAAGGTGACTACAAGGTGCTACATTTTGGTGACTGCCATGTAGGCTGCACATACCAGCAGAGTTTCACCATGACAAACCACAGCAGCAGCAAGGTGCTGACATTCGAGTGGCCTCCTGCTGGACCCCACATCATTTTCTCACCACAGGTAAACAAGGAACAAACATTATAAAAACTTAAATTATAAGACCTGGATTAAAAACTTGACATGCTAACCTGTTCTTTTTACTGGTCTGCTCTGCTTCATTTAAATTATTAATTTGTTTCTTGTTTGGTTTTCTAAATTGTTATACTTACATGGTGTTGTTTTGCTGCTTCTTTATAGGAGTTTTATGTTTAGATTTTCAAGAATTTACATCCCTCTGATCCAGTTCCTAACAAACATTAGATGTAGACAGTTCTTTGTGTTCATTGATGATTTCAACTGCCACAAAGTGGATGATGTTGTGGTGTACCTCAAGGTTCAGTTCTTGGTTCAGTTTTATTTCTTTATATGCTTCCCCCTCTACATATGAGATGTTCAAAGTTATTTTGCTGCTGTATGTTGCCTTATTTTCTGATTATTTAGACCTTCTGACCTCCCTTACACAAGATATAAATGATTAATATAAATATGTCACAAAACATGTTGCAACTAAAATATAAAAGAGAAATATGTTTCAGTAGAACCGCTCAGAGACAGAAGGTGAAAATTTTTCAGTTTTTTATCTCTGGATGGCTTTTTTTAATGCCTCAAATATCTAATTAAAAGCTATGTATGGGGAAAAATCTAAATAAACATAAAGCAGTAAAGTAAGAACTACCTGAAATAAAAAAATATTCACCTAAAAAATTATCCAAAGTTTGATTTGATTAAAAAAAAAGTATGAATAAATGTCCCATTTCTTTACACTAAGGGGCAGAAGTTAAAATTTGTACTGGAGCCATCCGGAGTGGCCAAGTCCTTTGTGGCTTCAACTTTTGGCTTCTGGTCCTCTCTAATGATTCTATATCTTGATGAATGCGCTATATAATTAAAGTTTAACATGATAAGTTTTGTTGTTTTTGTTTTTTTATTTGGACATGTGTCACTTTTCCGTGTGTCTCAGTAATGACTTTATTACAAAAAAGTGTAAAATCATTCCATATTAGCTTCTCCTATTTGGATGTCAATCTTTGACCTGGCCTTGTAGAATTTCTAGAATGTGATCAAGATAACTTTTCTGGTTGTTTGTTACAGGATGGACATCTTCATGCTAACTGTTCTAAGGAAGTGACCGTCACCTTTAGGTCGGATCGGCCAGTGACTCTGACCAACAAACCAGTGGGTTGTAAGGTTTGTCAGCTGGAGTCTCAGGAGCTAGTAGAGCAGGTGGCTGACTGGGATGACCCACAGAGGACGATGCAGCGGCAGAGTACCTCAACATCTGCAGCTTCAGAAGCATCTCCACAGCCTGAGATAAAGAAGGTATGCATGGCCTCTCTACTTTAGGTTCAAGTCCTGATGCACTGATGTGTCATGTGTTCATATGTTTGCATGCAGGTGTCACAGACAGAGCCTGAATCTGTCCGTTCAGTGATTGAGGGCTCTCAGTTGGTGTTTGATTTGCACATCAGTGCAGTTTGTGACTATGTGAAGATTAACTACTGCACCGACACCATCCTCTTCAAAGACACCATGATTTTTCAAACCAGGATCCACCAGTAAGTCAGGCTCTGGGCACAAAGATTCTGTCAACCATTTCTTCTCATTTGAGAATATTGTACACCTGACATGACAGATGCTTGTTTGTAAAAGTCTTTTTCAGTAACATGTGTCTTAACTTGTTCCCATCATAAATACAATAATCAGCCTTAACTTTTTTTTTTTTCCCCAATTATTCTAACGTCATCAAGGTTGAATTTTTTTTTTTTTGAGTGTATGCTTTTAGATTGTACAAAAAAAGCTCAAGTTTTATATAACTTGTTTTGCATAAAGCTTTGAAATAAATCTTATAAATCTGAGTTTAGGTGCTCAGGTTGTTTATAATACACTATATTTACGTGTTAAATGAAATGCAACTGTGAATCCTAACTTCCATCCATCCATCCATTTTCTTTACCCGCTTATTCCATTTTGGGTCACGGGGGTCGCTGGTGCCCATGTCCAGCAATCACTGTGCGAGGGGCGGGGTACACCCTGGACGGGTCGCAAGTCCATCACAGGGCCACATAGAGACAAACGAGACAAACAAACATTCACTCTCTCACTCACACCTAGGGACAATTTAGAGTTACCAATCAACCTAACATGCATGTTTTTGGACTGTGGGAGGAAACCGGAGTACCCGGAGAAAACCCACGCATGCACTGAGAGAACATGCAAACTCCACCCAGAAAGGCCCCTGGACCGGGGTTTGAACCAAGGACCTGCTCGCTGAGAGGCAGCAGCTCTACCAGTTGCGCCACCGTGCTGCCCAATCCTAACTTCTATTACTTTAAATATTTTTATCTCCCTGTTTGTGTGTCTATTTACACATACAGACTGCAGGTAGCGAATGTGGGTAAGGTGAAAGTGGACTTCACCTGGCAAGTTCTCATCGACTCAAGCAGCTACAATATGAACCATGACCCAGAAGGTAGAGGTTAGAAATTATATCATCAATTCACTTTGCACTAAATTTGATTTAAAATGTACTCATTAACTCTTCCTAATGGGTTTGAATACTCTTAGATAACAAATATTCTATCAGGTTAATTTAAAGAAGAAAATTACTTTGATTTTGAGTAAAAGTGAGCCACGTTGTTAATGACAGGTGAGACCTCCACCCCTCGACCGGGCAGCAGGACAGCAGGAGTACAACCTGTAGGTCGTCCTTCCAGCGCCCTCAGCAGCGTATCTTCAATCCTGAATAGAAACCCTGAATTACCTCCATTCAAGGTGGAACCGAGCGCAGGAACCATTCTTCCTGGTGCCACACAGAACTTCAGTGTTTGCTTTTCACCTGTGGAGGTGGCTCTGTTTCAGGGCAGGCTGCTCTGCAGGTAAAACAATGTAAAAGTATAAGTGCTGATTTCCTGGTTAAAAGAAGATGCAATTAAAAATAAGGAAATTAGTACTTAAAACATGTTAAAAGAGATTGTAAGCCAGAAAGAATAAAAGTAGAATTCCTGAAAGAAAGGTATTTCTTACCACAATGTATGCTAAAGTTTTAAACAGAAATATTGTGCAATATTTTAGCCCTTGTTATGGGAATGACTGTCTGATACTACCACACCAAATATGAGCTCAATTATAGTAGTTATTATTAGCTAAACCCAGTTAGCCCTTTTGACCTTCTTTAATCTGGTTTACTTTAAAAAGTTTAAAATCAGTTGTAAAAGGATATCCTGTGAGCGTCATTGAATTTTGTTTGGTGGTTCACATGATATTTTGCTAACAAACAGATAAAAGTGTACACAGACAATTACATGAGTATTTGCCTTTCATGGCATCTGGGGATAATTAATGTAACTGTACATTTAGCTTAAAATCACATCCAGTATGAAATAAATTGCTATTTTTTTTATATTTATTTGCTTTAAAATAAATATGCATTGATTGTATGTACTCATCTTGAGTCCATCATGTTGACTGGACTAAAAAAATGTATTCCTCATGACTCTGTCAAAGCAGTCTTAAGCACATTTGAATTTGGTCAGAATCCTAATTTAGCAAAATTCGTATAACAAAAAGCTACATGAAGTGAATATCGTAAAATGTTCCTGGTGTTTCATTTATGCTGCATATTATACATTATCATAAACTGTTTAATACTGTAACATTTCAAAAACATGTTTCCAGATTCAAAACAAGTTGGAAAGTTAGATTTTACTAAAATGAGAATCCTTAACAAAAATGACCGCAGTAAATTGAGAAGGAAGTTTTACAGTGAACTAATTAATAGACCGAGCTGACCACTTATTCAAACATTTTATGTTACACTTTTGATCAAAGTACTTTTATTAAACCAGAAGGGAGGAGCTGTGCTGGTGTTCTGGTTAGCACTTCAACTCCTTCACACAAAAACAATAGTAAATGCCATCTGTTCAAGGTTTTTGATACTTTTTCTTTCTTTGTGATCACATTTCTTCCAGTATTCCTAACCTGCAGGATGGTGATCAGGCTCCATGTATCCAGTTTCTGGGCTGCAGTTTGCTGCCACATTGCCACTTTGACCTGGAGGATTCAGACTCCATCAGAGCCAGTCACAGTCACCTTCTGGACCCAAACACCAGAGTTCTGGAGTTCAAAGCTGTCGGCTTCTTTACACCAACTACCAGGTAATGCATGAAGAGACTGAAGGTTTCATCATTATCTAAAGACTAACGTTTTGTGTTCTTGCTCTGCTCCACAGGTGTTTCAATGTGATGAATCCCACTAGTAAAAGTTTCTCATTCAAATGGACACGTGAACACACAGCTGACAGTCCTTTTCTTTGTCTCACATCCTCTGGCACTGTTCTACCTGGAAAGAAAGAAGAAGTATGAATCAAAGGAAACAGAAAATCCATTTGTTTTAATGTATTCCTCAGTCTCACCATTAATCCTCTCCTTTTGTGCCTGAGTTATTATTCATATGTAATTCTCCTCTCTTCATGTACCTGTAGATACGTTTTGAATACGTTGCTGAAAACCAGGACATGGTAGAGTCATTGTGGAACTTTGTGATTGAGACTCTGTCACTGTCTGTTCCCTTCCTGTGTGTGGGCACAGCTAGAGAACCAGTCATTTATCTCAACAGACCTCATCTTAGTTTTGGAGAACTAGTTGTGGGTATGTATCACTGACACACATGCACACACATATGCATGCCCCCCCACCCCCACACACACACAAACACAGAGTTGTCAGAACATAGTAAAAGGATCATTTGATGCTCAGAACATCTTAAAGTGAACATATTACCTCATGCCCTTATTTACTTCACATACTTCCTTTATTGTCCTTCTGTGGGACAATAAAGAATGTTTATATTCTATTCTAAACTACACCAAAATGAAGCAATGAGTTTAAAAAAAATCATTTATTTCTTGATCCAGCAGTTTGCTGAACCTCCCTCAGCAGCAATAACTCTCAATAATGGTTTTCAGTTTCTTACATGGTTGTAGAAGAATTTTAGCCCACTCTTCTTTCCAATGTTTCCATTCATTCAGGTTTGCAGATAATTGTTTCCAATCAGCTCTTTTATGGTCCTGCCACATCATTTTGTGTAGGAGAAGGTTCTGGACTGAAACACATTTCAGAATGGAAAATTACCTGAGTCTATTTTAAAGTCTTTCAGACTCCATCATTTGATATAGTTCAGGATAACCTTTGTCATGTTTGAGTTCATGCTTGGCAACAAGTATCTTTAAGGGTTAACAGCATGGTTAAAAAGGTTTGTTTATAAAACCAACCAAGGGTTGTTCTAACACTGGCTGTTATTCTGAATATGGTATGATCATCTATGTGTGTGTGTGTGTGTGTGCGCGCGTGCGTGCGTGCGTGTGTGGGTGTGTGTGCTGGCAGGTCATAGTTGTGAGCAGAGAGTTGATTTTGTCAATGCAGAGGAGGAAGAGGTCCACTTCTCAGTCCTGCAGATGTCTCTGCTTTCTGAAGACCAACAATCAAGCCTCGTTGTGCAGCCCATGAGTGGCAGAGTGGCTCCCAAAAACAGGTCTATAATGTGTATTTGGTACAAATTTTTTTGTTTGTTTTTTTGTTAAGTTATTCTGTGTAATACTGCTGTTTTAACAAAGTCAGTGTGTGAGAGCTGTTGCGAACTGTTTGACATAGGTTACCTTTGTTAGTGCGCTTCACGCCCTGCTCAGAGGGACATGTGGACTTCAGATTACACCTGAAGGTGAGGGGAAAGCCAGAGCCACTAACACTGACTGTTAAAGCTCAGTCACTTGTCCTGAATGCTTCACTTCAACTTGTGAAACCAAATGGGGACTTAAGAGCAATCGTCCCAAACCTCCAGGACACACTAGACTTTGGAGAGGTCTGTATACTTTAAAATCAGGCACAAACAACCAAACATCAAATAATTTATCTTCTCCAGTGTGCGTTTAACCTGACTGCCATTTCTTTGCTTGTGTTTTCATATTTACTGCTCACAGGTGGGGGTTTCAGAACAATCCTCCTTTACTTTCCTGATGTCCAATCCTGTAACATTCAACCTGGAAGTGAACTTTGAGCTGACAGGTCCCAAAGAGCAGCTTCAGCATTTACAGACAAAGCCTCAAACTGCTGCTATTGAGGTTGGGAAGTCACTGCAGGCATCACTCCTCTTCTGTCCTCGGAGCATCTGCGACCTTCAGGACGTCACACTGACTCTCAAGGTGAGAAGCTAATGAAGATTTTAAAGAACAGGCAGCATTTTGAATGACCTGCAGGATTTAGAGTCTGAAACAGGAGTTAGTCAGAGATATGACATTGGCTTTAAAGTAACCCATGCTGCTGTTTAAACATGCTCAAGGGATGACGTGAAAAAAGCTCAGTGGATAAAACTCATCCTAGTTCAGTTTCCTTTTTATGTCATCAGTTTACAACACAAGTAATTTCAAGGTGCTTCACTCAAAAGGCAAATAAAAGTTGAGTTAACTTAAATTCAGTCCACTTCAATAATTTAACTCTGTCTAGTTAAGTAAAGATCAAATCAGTTCAATACAGTGGCGATTTTAGTCTCTTTTGAGGGGGTGCTCAAGCACCCCTAAATTTTAACTCAGCATCCCTGAAAATTTGAGAAACCATCATTACAATTGTGTAAGGAAACTCAGTTCTCAAACCTAAGATTCACCAAAATATTGAATAAATATGGAATAAATAATGGGCAGCACGGTGGCGCAACTGGTAGAGCTGATGCCTCCCAGCGAGCAGGTCCCTGGTTCAAACCCCGGTCCAGGGGCCTTTCTGGGTGGAGTTTGCATGTTCTCTCCGTGCATGCGTGGGTTTTCTCCGGGTACTCCGGTTTCCTCCCACAGACCAAAAACATGCATGTTAGGCTGATTGGTAACTCTAAATTGTCCCTAGGTGTGAGTGAGAGTGAATGGTTGTTTGTCTCGTTTGTCTCTATGTGGCCCTGTGATGGACTTGCGACCCGTCCAGGGTGTACCCCGCCCCTCGCACAGTGATTGCTGGACATGGGCACCGGCGACCCCCGTGACCCAAAATGGAATAAGCGGGTAAAGAAAATGGATGGATGGATGGATGGAATAAATAATGACACTCAAACTGGTCAGTAAAATCTAAGACTTTTTTTTTGCCCGAGTCGGATTCTCAATGCCACCTGTCAATCAGTGCAGTAGGAATGTCAGCAACTGACCAATCGGTGACCTCACATGTCCTCTGTGAGAGAAGCAGAGCGTGCTCTATTCACACAAGGAGAGCTGTTGGTCAGGCTACTTCTTGTTGCTCTCTAAAATAGTTATTGAATCAAGTGTTTACTTATGTAAGTAAACATAGATGTTTAACCCATTAAAAAAAAAAAAATGCAGGAAATCGCATCTACTTTATTCAAAAATTTCTGGGGGAGGACCCCCAGACCCTCCCACCAGTGTGTCGTCCCACATTACAAATGCTGCTGACATCAATGTGCACTGCGTTGTTCAAGTCAAGAGACACTGTCAGCACTGTTGGGGAAAACACCCCTAAAGTGCAGATTCTAGAATCACCCCTGGTTCCATCATAATCAAAGATTAAGATCTGGATATAGAAAGCTGTAATTATCTCGTAACAATATGTAGTTTAACTATTAACATCTATTTTATCCCCAAAAGCACTTTTTTTTTTCCAAACAAATCCTATTTTTCAGTTTGATCTCGTTTTTTTCTTTCCTTTTCACTAACATTTTTCATCCTTCATCCTTTCAGGTGACGCACGGGCCATCATTCACTTTTGCCGTTAAAGGCAGAGCAGAAGCACCAAACTTTGAATTTTCCTCCACTGAGATCAACTTTGGCAGGTGCTTTCTATACAGACCCGGCATGGTGCCGGCAACCCAAACTCTAATGATCAGCAATAGAGGCAGCAAGGATATCAGGTTTGTTTCAACCTGCTTTGTTTTCGAAGTATCAGAGAAGCATTTAAGTAAAGGTAATAAATTAAACCTCCAAAATTAGATGAAATATTTGTAGTTTGTTTGTATTTATAAATTAAAAGGTTTTTGAGAGTGTAAACCCATGTTTAAAACCAACACTGTAGTCTGCTTCACTCTTCTCAGGGTTGAGTGCCAGCTCAAAAACACAGCTTTCCTCATCGTGGACTTCCAACCAGATATTCTGCGACCCGGTGCTGTGATGAAGGTACCAGTCACCTTCTATCCTCATGAGGCACGTCAGTACCACAAAAAGCTCTCCTTCAACTTAAACAGCTGCATCACACATGTGGACATACAGGGACAAGGCATTGAAATCAAGGTAAGGATAACTGCAGTTGTGTATGTTTTTACACACTCGTTCATTTCCACTGGTAACCAGAAAAACATTTTCTGTAAAAATACACTGAATGGTAAAAGCTGACTGCTGAAAATAGCTGAAAAAAGTCAGACCAAGTTACAAAGAAAACAGAGGCTAAATTGAAAATACATAAGTTAGTTGAGTGTCGCCAGTAGAAGTAGTGCAAAAAAATGTTTTTGTTGTCAAACAAAGAAGGTAGTGGAGCACAATATTTTATATTCAAAGGTAAAATCAAACTAAAAACGAATCCCTCTGTCTTAGCTGGATGTGAAAAATCCACAACAGAAGAAGCTGAAACTGGGCTCGCTGACGTTGGGTCAGAAGGTGAAGAAACAGGCAGTTCTGGTTAATCACAGCAGTTCAGATCTTTCTTTCACTCTGACTCTGAGCACAAACACACCACTGGATCCAAAGGTAATCAGCACATACACTCAGGTACAAATAAACAACAGAGGACTTAATGCAGTTTTCTCTCCCACCAGGTCCTGTCTGTCAGCCCAGCAGGGGAGCTGAAACTGAAATCAGGCGGTGGCTCATGTAAGGTGGAGATCCAGTTCTCCCCACGTCAGCGTGTTCCTCCTTTCATCTCTGAGCTACAGGCGGACTTTTCAGACTTCTTACACCCTCTGCTGACCGTGGAAGGTTGCTGCCAGGTAGGCGTTACCTGTCAGTTTAGCAGGGAGCAGAGGTTTTTCTGACCAGATGAACTAAACTTTATTGTAATCAAATGATATTAAACATTTAAACTGTCAGGGTGTGGAGGTGGAGTTGGACCAGAACTACCTGTCTTTTGGAGCTGTAGTTCAGCGCTGCCAGAGCAGGAAGAGGATCATGATAATGAACACTGGTGACGTTGATGCCAAGTAAGGTTTAAAAACAACGTCCTGTTCTGCCTCTGAGATTAAATCCAAAACATTTAAATTCAGTTATGACATGTTCAGGATCCCTGACATATCCAGGTTCAAATTTGTTTTCTGCTCATTACATTTTTATTCCCAGGTTCCAGTGGAGAACAGAACAGTTTCCTGAAGAGCTGTCCATCGTGCCGGTGAAGGGATCCATCAGCCCAGGGATGGAGGTTCCCCTTGAGGTGACTTTTGCCCCGGTCAAACTCAGCCCTGACATCAGATATGAGGACCTGTCCTGCTCTGTTGAGGGCTCCTCTTCATCTGTCGCACTGACTGTGACGGGCTCCTGCATCGCAGCTACCACCAACAAAGAGGTTCGACTGAAGAACTTTATTTTATTTTGACAAATTCAGCTTTTTCTTACAAAAAACAGCAAAATAATATGGAAAAAACTAACTGTAGAAATTTTAATGGGGACATTTGATTAGTTTGTTTTGGTTTTATTGCCAGTGACTCCATTTAAAGAGCAGAAGGGAAAATTTGTGTTTACTGAATTTCAAGTCAAATCAACTTTATTTCTGAGCAGAACATGTTTATCAAAGTGTTGCACAGATAAAAGAACAAGTGTAGAACCATGCAAGTTTAAAAAAAAATAAAGTACAATAATAAAATATAACTACTATAATTGATGGTCTATAGAGCACACCCGAACATAAGCTGTGCACACTAAATTTTACCAAACTAACAACAACAACAACAACAACAACAACAACAACATAAACAATTTTGTACATGTATAAGCCACACTTGTGTATGAGCACACAGCTCTTGTTCTAGATCTAGATTTGCCATGAAATTGTGAACCCCACACCTCTTCATGATAAGTACCTCTCTCACTCATGGTTACTCTACTTGTCCTAACACAAACTAACACATAATGAACACATAAACTAGGCTAATAAGAACAGACTAATCACTAAAAGAAAAAACAAAGATGCTAAACAGCTAGCCAAAATGATCAACAATTAACATAAATTTTACCCATAATCCCTCCCTGAGGCCATGTGATCAGCAGTCAACCACAAAAGACAAATGAGGTAGTCTCATTGAGTCAGGAGTTCCCAACCCCAAAGAGAGACATGAATTAGGCAGATATGTGAGCACCCGGGTGTGATGAAACTAAATGTTTTGGGTGGCAGGAAGCTCGTTAGCCCGTCCCAAAAAAATCCATAAATTTGACACAGCATTGTATAAACTACGGGGTTCAAAGCCTGTGAAAAAAGTAGCAACTTATAGACCAGAAAGTACGGTAGATAAATTACATTTTCTGTAAAAGAAAATACTGTGGGTTGAATGATTTAGCTGAAGTTTTTAAAGAAGCAGAAAGTTGTTAAACCTATAAAAAAACAGCTAAAAACTGAAAATAACTAAATGTGTTATATGTATCAAAGCTAAAATAAAAAGTAGCAAAAGTTTAAAGTAGCAGACTTGTAGCTTTAGCCTTAAAACTTAAAAGTAGAACAAGAAAACAAAACAAAAAAAAACATGTAGAGTATAACAAACAGTTTTTAAAGAACTTTAAAACATCTCGACCTATTTTATGGGTAAAACATTTGTAAATAAAGTTAAATATTTTGAAAAATATAAAAATGGCCAAAACCTATTTCCTAAATGAGCTAAGTTTTTGTATTTAAACGAAACAGTACAAAGTCTGCAGAGAAAAACTATGAAAACAATAGTGTGAATGTTGAAATCAGCATTCATTACACAAGAACAAAGTGTTAATTGAAACTGTTTGGGAGGTATCCTGATGTCAAAGGTCAAAGTTCAGATGCTGCTACAGCAACAACTTGAATCTGCTCCTCAGTGTTTCCAAGAGCATCTGCTCTCCTGGACTCTGTGACTTTTTAGGGGTGTCAAACAAAAAGATGTGAGATAAGAAGGTGCTCACCTGTTCAATGTGTTTCACCCAGGAGCTGACTAAAACATTCTCTTTAATAATAATACTAATAACAATGCATTCCATTTGTAGGGCACTGCACATTTGTAAATCTCCAAGTGCTACATTTCAAAAGTTACCAAAACAAAATTATTTAACAATAACAATAAAAAATCACTAAAATCAGTTAGAGACATAAAAACACCAAAACAAAAGAAAGTTTTTAAATCTTTTTTCTGAAGGATTTTTTAGTCTGCGGTTCCCTCGACTGGTTTAGAAGTGAGTTTCACAGACGAGGAGCAGCAGAGCAAAAGGTCCACCGTGGTGGAGAGCTTTGAAGACGAGATGTTTTATGAAGAGAACGAGATTTGATGTGTGAGCAGCTCCTTAAGGTAGAGGGGGGGTGCTGCCATATCTGCGCTGGGGTGTCAGAAGACAGATGTTCTGGATTCTGGCAGAGACCGGAAGCCTATGAAGAAAACAGGACTGGTGTGATGTGCTCATGCTTTCTGGTTTTTTTAAGAGTCTGGCAGCGCTGTTCTGGATGAACTGGAGCTATTGAATTTGTTTTTAGTATCTTTGTTCTGTGTTTTTTAGGTTTTATGTCAATGCTTTTAATTTTTTAGTACTATCATTATTTTTATTTTTTCCACTAATTTTACTCTTTGTTGTTATTGTTAAGCACTTTGGTAACAGCTCCTGTTTTAAATGTGCTCTACAAGGTCATGGTCAAGGTTTCTTTATTGTCATTCTCATCATATGTGGTACATGTTGTGGAACGAAACTGTGTACACATGGTCCCAGTAACATCCAACAAAAGTATAAATTGTAAAAGAAAAACTAGAATAAGATCTAAGATATGAACTAAGAAATTTGCTTGTTTTACCACGTCTGACCAAAATGCTGAGTTTGTTTCACATAAACAGTTAAGATAGTTTGTTAAAACACACTTGAGAGATTTTCCACAAGAGGCTGTAAACTGGTTTTATAAAGTATCACTGTTAAATAATCATTCTTATCACTCACTTTAACTTTCAGTCAAAAACTGTGTGTATTCCCAACAGCAACAAAAAGGAAGTTTTTTTCAATAGAAAAACGATTCATATTTGTATTTAAATTAATTTAGTGTTTTTTTCCCCTGTTAGAATGAACCCCTTAAACCCGTTGTGTTCGTATTTTTTCTTCTCATTGTAGTAATGGACCAGAGAATTCATTCGGCTCATTTGGATCAGTCAGCAGCTTCCGATAGATTTAAAGATTTATAAAAGTTGCAGTTGAAGTCAATTAGCTGAAGTACCCCTTTAGTCCGAGAGGCTGGGAATCAGACAAGTCTGAAAGCTCGTGTTTCATTTGTCCCTTGCATTTGTCTCCTGAAACCAGAGGATGGAGAAAAGGCTGCAGGAACATCTGAATGTTCTGCTGCGGTTTTATTTTAGATTTTTTTTTTAATACATAAAAATCATTACAGTTTTTTTTTCTCTTTCTGTTTGAGAAATAAACTCCTAGAAGGATAGTTTATGTTGGAAGCAGCTTCTGTAGCATCTGCTGGATAATCCTTAGCTCCTCCTGTTCTTGTTCTGTCGCCAGGTAGTGAATTTTGTTTGTCCGGTGAGAAGCTCACACACTCAGAGCCTTTCCATCCTCAACCCCACCGGTCAGTACTGCAACAACACACCTGTCATCAAGGGCAAACAGTGGATTGTTGCACACCACATGACATTTGAACCCTACCAAAACAAGTCCGTTGACATCACATACCAACCACTGACCATGACAGCTGATGGAAAGAAACATCTGGTGAGAAAAGTTGCATTTAAACAAATAATTTATATATAACAAGCACATTGTGGCCTACTGTGAAGGGTTTACTGGTATATCTCACCTTCTTTTCCCCTCAGGGATCAGTCTTTTTCTCTTTTCCTGGTGGGAGGGGGATGCTTTACTCCCTGCAGGGAACTGCTGAACCTCCAAAAGCAGAAGGCGTCATCGTGCACGAGCTGCCAGCCAAAACTAACCACAGTGAGGTGCTGGCTGTCAGCAACTGGCTCTCCAAGCTGCAGCGGTAAAAAAAAAACTTTGTATATTAAAACTTTATCTATTTTTTGTCAATAAATAAATAAATAAATAAATAAATAAAAAATATATATATATAAAGAAATATATATATATATTTTTTTTTTATTTTTTTTATTTTTTTTTTTTTTTTCTTAAGTTAGTAGAAACAGGCTGTCAATACATTTGCATCTACCATGAAGACGTGTGTGACTTAGATCATTTTATTAGATTTTAGGGTAATTGTTCTAACTAATACAGCAGTTATTGTATCGTGTTTGCTGGAGGATCAGAACCCAAACTCAAAACGTCAAAGGTAAAATAAACTAATTTATTTACAAGAAAAAAAAGGGCTGACAAGGCCGCTAACTCAGTGAAATCCTCACACATGAAAAACTGTTGAGACTCAAAAAGGAACCCGACATGAACCACAAATGTCCAAATGTTGAGCTTGAGTTGTCTATGAACTGGGTTTTTTTTTTGTTGTAATTTTTTCATATTTACCTTTATTTACAAATATTGGCAAACATCTTTATTTCTTCAGAACATTTTCACAATTTTAGTTTTTTTGCTGCCGTTTTGTTAATGTTACTTATAGCTACTGTTTGCTTGTTTTAGCTTTTAGTCACTGATATGCTAACTATCTTTTATGTATTGTTCTGATCATTTTAGCTTTTAGTCACCGTTCAGTTGGTTTCAGCTATGTTAGCAACTGTTTGCACATATTATATTTTAGCTTCTGTTCTGTTCATTTGAGTTTTTAACTACATTTCTGTTCATTTGAGTTCTATTTCGTATAGGCTTTGCCCTTTAAGGCCATCGCTAGGGGGCTTATCCCTTCGCGCGCAGCGCAGAAAAAAATGCCTGTTTTAATGTCCGTTCTGTTGTGCTCGGTTGTACATCAACCTTCATGCTGTATTTTGGTAGACAAAGTCAATTTTTCTACTTTGTATTTGTGTCCCAGTCCAACAGTAATTTTCTTTTTACATTTATCAGCAGATCTTCATGTTTGCAGTTTGTTTTTTAATAAAGTGAGCTGCTGAGCTCAGGGCGTTGATCATTTATGACACTTCCAGTGGTGTCTTTGCGGTGGACTGTGTTGTGTTGGCCTTTTCAGAATTTTCAGATTATGTGTTGACATGTTTGGTATATTTGAGGGGAGGTTTGTAAAAAATGTGGAGCCAGATAGGTACATATACTAAAACCAAGATCACGGCGGCATGTACAGCCTCCCCACCATGCACCACAACCTAACGCCCAGCATTATCAGCATGTACACTCGAGGCTGTAAATTGCACCTGTTTACCGACTATAATAGCCACCCCTCTCAGTTTAGGAAACTAAAAACCTGTGAAATAAAACATATTTAAGTGTTCTGCCTCCATTGTAATGTCAAAACTTAAGTTCTGCTTCTTTAACAAATGTACAGATCTGTGGATGTTTCTGTGATTTCTCAGGTTCAGCGTGCTTCTCGAGATCATAAAGCCTGATAAAACAGATGCTACCATGTCCCTGAAGGGACAAAAGTACATTGAAGTCCCTGCTTTGGCCAAGCGGGATTACACCGTGTCTTTCTTTGCACACAGAGAAGGATATTACAACACCAAGGTTTGAACAAACACATTACTGTCAGCACGTTCGAGTGCATGTAGTCTTGCTCTCACACTACCTTTTGCTGTTTCTCGTTAGGTGACATTTTGTAACGAGCTGACAGGAGAGTACCTGTTCTACCTCATCAACTTTAAAGTCAAGTCTCCGGTCGTCTTGTCCACAATCAATCTGGAGTCAACTGTCCGTCGGGTAGCCTCAGCTACTATTCACATGGAGAACCCTCTGACCACGACTGTCTGCTTCACCTCTGAATGTAAATGTGGGGACATCAGCGCTCCGACTCAGCTTACAGTCCCAGAGCAGTCCGAGGTGGATACTGACAGCAGAGTCACTAAAATAAAACGTTGAGGACATGGCTTCAAGCTGACACTGTTTGTGTTTGTCTCTCTTCAGGGTTCTTTGAGCTTTGAGTATCTGCCTCTTCAGCCAGGCGAGATTTCCACTCAGCTGACCCTGTTCAATAATGAGTTGGGTTATTTTCACTACGACCTGCACCTCAGAGCTCTGCCCCCGCTTCCAGAGAAAACCGTCCACTTCGAGACATCACTGGGCAGCAGCCACTTGGTCCTTGTTAAATTCATCAACTACTCCCGCTACAAAACTGAGTACTCCTGCGAGGTAGGAAAACACCAAACCTGATCCTTGCTTTACAAACAGTAGGCATATTTTAAAGTTTGTAGCGTAGAAAAACGGATCTTTGTCAAAGTAATGCAGCTTTTTAGTCATCACATGATGTTGTTTTATTCTGTCTCCCCTAAAGACTGATTGTCCAGATTTTGTTGTGGACAAAAGCCTGGCTGTTTCCCCGGGTTTCCAGCAGGGGTCCGAGGTGAGCGTGGCGGTTTGTTTCGAGCCTCATCAGCAGAGGGTGATGAAGGGCCATCTCACCTTGTCCTCAGAAATTGGAGGCGAATACATCTTTCCCCTGCATGGGGTCTGTCGCCCCCCTAAACCTCAAGGCCCATTTAGCATCAAGTCTGGCCGCAGCATCACCATCCCCTTTAAGAACGTGTTTCTGCAAACCACCGCCTTCAGCTTTTGGGTAAAGAACCTAAACAAGACCTGCTCTTTCTTCACTCTGTCGTTTTTCTGCTTTTTTTTTTTTTTTTTACTTTTTCACAACTTTTGCAACTACATCTGTAGACTTGGTGCTATTTTACCCACTCATATAAAAATCATTTGGCTCAATCGGGAGATGGATGCAAGGATGTTTGATGTTTTAATTAGTTTTTAAATTATATTTTTTATAACTTGATTTTACAAAAAATAACCCCTTAGAAATTAATTGAGCTCTCTTCAAATCCTTCAAAAACATGTTTCTTTGAATTCTGCTTCACAAAATTTGCCATATTTTTATGCTCTTATGGTATTTGTAGTTTCTTTGCTAACATTCTGCTACATTTATCTTTTAGCTAGCCTTTTGTTACTTTCAGCATGTAGCTACTACTCTGCTACTTTTAACGTTTCATGAGCCTTTAGCTACTTTTGGTTTGGGTTGACTTTTGCTGTTTTAGCTGACCTTTCACCATTTTTGCTTTTAGCTAATCTTTTACTGCTTTTAGCATCTAGTCAGCATTTTGATTAATTAAGCTCTTAGTTAGCTTTTATCTACTTTAGCCTTTAGCTACTTTTCTGCTCTTTTTAACTTGACCAAACTCAGTCACTGCTTCTTCAGCATCAAGTTTTCAGCACTTAGATTTACTTTACATTTTCTCATTAAATGCCATTTCTGTAGAATTTCTTTTTTCAGTTAAGGTTAATTTAGGATTAGGGTGTTTTTAGAATACTCCAATCTAATGTTAATTTGGTTTATGATCAATTAAATTTAGGCATTTTTTTAATCATTTATAAACAACTCTTCCAGATTCCTGATACATGCCTGTATTTGCTCTTAGGTTGACAACTCCTGTTTTACAATCAAAGGAGAGAGCAGCATTCCCTCCAAAGCGATACAAAACATCTTGGTGTCGTTCAACGCTCCTCCAGGAGAGTTTTCAGGACCGTGGTTCGGCAGACTGACCATCTCCAGCCGGCATTCTGCGGGTCAGAACTGCTCCTGGGTCTTCTACCTGAAAGGACAACAACCTTCATCACCCTAAAGAGGATAAAGTTATTCAGTGAAGGACACGAGTAAACTAAAAAATGAGATATGCGTAAAACTGACAATGGTTGAATATATTTTACTCACTTTAATAAAATGTTCCAGGTTTGCAATGATTGTTTCTGTGTTTTCTGTAAATGATGCAGTTCGGAGTTTGTTTTACGCTGTTTAGTCAGTATCTGTCAGGGATGTACTGATTAATGGCCACAGTGGTAAAATGTGATTGGATCAGTGGAACATCCCGTCTGATGATGGAAATTTACATTTAAATATAGACATGTTGGTTTATTGAGTAGTTGCATCGATGAAATTGGATTTATTTAATTACTTGATTAAAAACAGTCTTGTCAGTTTCTACAACATCTACTTAAAAAATTAGTGACAAATTTTCAGGGTTTGTGAAGTACCGGCTTCCTCTGCGCAATGTTCGGAAGGAATTGAGATTTATTTATAATCTTCCACAGTCCATTTACTTTTGTACTGAGTTTCTAGTGTTTTTGACCACTCAACACAACAAGTCACATTCACCGAAGCGTACTGATTATCAGATCCACGAGAGATTCAGTCTTTAGTGTTAAAAAAAAAAAATCCTTGGGAGAAATTTGGACTGATACATTTTTGGTGGACAAATTATCCCAAGCCCCCATAAATAATATTTACAATATATTGAATAAAATTACATTAAATTTAGTCATTTTGAACATGATTTTAAAAGGAAACATTTATCAAACTTCATAGATCTAATAAAATAGCTAAAACAAAAACACCACTGTTAAAAAAGGAGGAAGAGATTCAAATGCTTTTTTTAATTCCAATATTTATTTAACTCTTTGTATGATTTTGTACAACTAATGTTTAACCCTAGAGTGAGTCACTCAAATATTCACTCATAGTTGAAATATTAACACATATTGACAGTTTTAATATTTCAACACAGCAACCATCTTCCTGCAGGGAAACTCCTTCAGTCCTCCACAAGGGGGCAGCCATGTCACGTGATTGGTTTTAAATACTTTTTCCTTCAATCCACCTTATTCCGGATTTGGCGCCACTACCCATAATTCATAGCGGAAGCCGGTTGTTTACTTCCGCCCGCGATCCCGCGCTGTTGTTTACGTTTGTGGGTTAACACACTTGCTAGCAATTTAATGTTTTTGACACAAAAGTTTCCTTTACCTGAAGTAAATGGCAGCACATCAGAGGTGGATACATTGCAAGGATGTTTTAAAAAGCTGCGAAGATAAGTCGTTAACTGTGTCTCACCCATCATTTCTCACGGACTGGGTAGATGATATGAAATCATGGCCCGGAATTACCTACATCGATATTATTAATTACCTTGTTTTTTCTGAAGGCGTCGATGGCGAGGAATTGCGGAATTATAAAAGCACAGAGGCGTATAATTACCTCCACAGCAACAAAATAGATACGGTTTTGCTCAAGAAACAAGGCGACTTTATCTTTCTGAAAGCAGCTGTTGAGCCGAGCCAGAGCGTTGGTCAAGCTAAACACTTAGCATGGGTCATGCTCAGAGAAAGTGGAGTGGTAGAAACGGTCGGCTGTTCCTGTATCGCCGGATTGGGAAAATCATGCAGTCATGCGGCAGCTATTCTGTGGAAGGTATATCACTTATCTGGATATCAGAATATTTACATCACTGAATCAGAATCACTGAACTGGGCGAAAGCTGTGAGCTTCCTGTCTGCCTGTGTTTACATGTGGAAGCCAGAGCATTGTGCAGCCTGTGATCTACTGTCACAAAAAATTAAACATTAAAAAGGCTGTACAGTATTTTTATATTATTTGTTTTTAAAAAAGTACAGACTGGATGCAAGGCAACCTAACATTTACAGAAAAGGAAAAAATAAATGACAACAGCAGGGATGTAAATAACTTGTTTCATTTTATTAGGAGCAGTGATAGCTGAAGTCTGTTAAATTGTTACAGGTCCAGAATGCTGTGATCAGTGGAAAGACGGGGCTAGCATGTACAGATGAGCAGCGCAGGTGGAATGCTGGGACAGCAAAGAATCTTCAACCCAAACGTCTAAGCATGATAAACTTCAGACACCACAAGGCAGAGCAGCAGTATAACATCAACTCAAGGGCTGCAGACACGATTAGTCTTTATTTTCATAAGTGTTATAAGGACTTGATCTTGTACAGGCATTGTAAATTCATTGTTGTCATCTCCTTCCAGTGCTGACACAAGAGTGTTAAATGTTTCTAACGCTATACCAGTGTACAGCAAAGCGTCTGCGTCATTTTGTAGAAGAAAAAATGCAACTTCATCACACTGAGTGGTCTTGTCCTGGACATCTTTTCTGCCAGACGTGTTGCAGTATTGATGATGATCTTTTAGCGAAGGGTCCTCCCACTGTGTGTGGACTGAGTGCAGATGTGGCCCAGGAGGTTGTGTGGAGACGCTAGCCAGGTCTGGGATGACTGACGGTGAATCTACGGTGCACTCTGAATAACACAAAAATACAAAATCAAATCAGCGTAACACAACCTGTCAAGTGTCACTTACCTTATTACGTTTTAGGAAGGAAATTTGTAATTCCACACTCGTACACACATGATACATCTTAAATGTCAATAGTGCTGTTTTAGTGGGGCTTTAGCCCCCTTAAATTTTCCTAAGCCCCATCAAATTATGCTATAATATCAAAATATTGTGATTAGATTTTAGTTTTTCATCCTTAAAAAAATCAGTTGGAGCTAGGTTGCATTTAAGCTTTTTCTTTAAAGAGTTTAAAAGAAGTTTTTTTTTCAGCTGTGTCTGTTTCAAATAACCTGCCTCTAATAACTCAACATATTCTTTATTAACAAAATCCCCAGACTTTTACAGCCCTGGGGGCTGAATTTTACCAGGTTGCTAAATAAAAAGCTATTCTCGGACAGTTACATGAAATCATATACATCTCTGCTAGCATGCTACTGATGTTAATTACTAACCACTTTGTCTTTAAGATTTGGATTTGGCTGCCAATCAAGTACTTTCTCTTAGTGATAAAGTATTTTGGAATTAAATTAATAATACACTAACATCCACAATAACACTGCAACCAGCTAGCGCTGATGCTAACACCATCCACAGTATAGTAATTATAACATTACAATTATAACATTAATAATAATATAATTCAGTAAAAGATAAGAGCTAAGCATGATTAAAATGTGAAGCGGGGACAAATCACATTTTCAATTCCACTCACCGGGAACAGATTGGGCCGTTTTGTCGATGTTGCTGGAAGCTGTCTGGCTCACAGTGGTCCGGATGAGCTGCCTTCTTTTCTTTGGTGGGGCCCGGTCATAGCCCAGATAGAGCTCCGGGTCGGGGTGAAGCTCTGTGGGCTTTTTATCAATAAAATGAAAGGAGCAAACATAAACTCTCTTCGGGGGGTATTTGAGTTTTAAAGCTGCCAGCCACGCTCGTTTTCGATCCTCCTTCCTAGGCATGGAGTGCAGTTCGTAACGCGCTGGGCACACACAGGCCTTTCGAAGTTGTTGATGTGCAAAACAATACGTTTCTAGCTCGTCTTTCAGTTTTCTGGAGCTGTTGTGACAGCCAACAACAGCACAAGTTGAACCCGAACTCATATTAGAATTGTTTAAGCCTCCTGCTACAGCACAAATTACTAGAATTTGTCATTAGCAAAAGTGCCTGTCATTAGCAAAAGTGCCTCTCGCTTTAGCTCACCGGAAGTATAAAACCGGGAAGGGGCGGTACCTGTCTGTCATGGCAGCCCACATACGCTCTTGCAGAATAAGGTGGATAGAGATTAGTTTTTTGTTTTTTTTATGTTTTTTAAACTTTACTCCTTGTTTGGGTCATTTTTGTCAACAGAACCGAGTTGCTGTTTGTTGGATGCGCATGCGCAGTTTTGAGGAAAGACTTCCGCGCAGAAAGGGCAGAGCTGGGGGAGTCTCATTACTAAAGGTTAGATCTGTCACATCACACGTGCACGCTCACATAATAACGCTAACAGAGTGGCAGTTGAGGAGACACACCTTGATACTGGGTCAGAAAACACCCCTCTCTGTTCAGACGGTAAACCAGAAATAAACTTGAACCCGTCCCTGTTGTGATTTAACCTTTTTTTGTTGTTGTGCTTTTACTGTTTTAGTTTGCTCAACAGCCAAATGTGCGTGCGCGCGTGCATGTTGGGTGTGATTTTGGGGTGGGTGCTGTGATGTAACAGGGAGAAGTGTGCGGGGTGAGGGTGGGGGCTTCTCTCTCTCCCCCCACAGAGCGCAGCATGAGCGCTCCGCAGCAAAAGGATGTGTGAGCAGGCGGCGCGCTACTGTCGGGACGGAGTCCACAAACTGCTCAACAAAGAACAAGCCAAACTCCGAGCCCAGGAGAGCCGCGAGCAGCCCAAGCCCGTAGCCGGTCAGGACAGCGAGTCCGCGACGGCAGCGCAGTCCGGAAACAGCGGCGCCCAGCCCGGTGGAATCGACGGGCTCGTCCGCTGGATCGTCACCAAAATGAGCGACAACAAGAACGTCTCCAGCCGGGAGTACGCCTCCAGCAAGGAGGAGGTGGCCGTGGCCCAGGAGCAGTTCTTCGCCCCGGAACCTCGGAGAGGCATCTCGGTCATCTTGGATGTGAGTATGAGGCTGAGGGGTGGAGTGGGGCGGCGGAACCATCCAGCGGAACGGTGCGCACTTACGCACAGTTAACTTGAACGCAGCGTCACTCTGCTCTCCATCCTCCATGTTCACTTCTTATAACTAACGGTCTGGTTAAATCTTCTTTTCTTCCAGCGTCACCGCCCTCGAGGAAAAATAAAATAAAGCTCTCTGACAGCTGAGCGCAGGTCTTGGGTCGGTAACTCAGAGGCGGTTCTAGATATGATGGGTGTCAAAGGAGGGGCACGGTTCTAGCAGATAGGGGAAAGCGTTTAATAAGACAGGAGAAAGTTTACTTAAGACTTAATTTGATGCATTCAGGTTATTTGTCCATGCTTTAAATAAAAGGTAAAGCTGTTTCACGCTCATCCAAACGTCTGATGTGCTGGGAGTGGAGCTGTGATGTAAAAGAGCCGAACCTTTGAAACAAATGAGCACCGAGTCTCACCGTTCTTTTTTGTTCCTCCTCACATGCACACATACATGGTGTTCTTTACTTTTCCTCTAAGACAAACAAACAAAAAGTGAAGGTAATGCGGGGGAGTGCAGTTGCATATTGGGAACATACGTCCAAAGGTGTGTTGTTGTTTTTTTTTTTTTTTTTGGGGGGGGGGGGGGGGGGGGGGCGGGGCGGGGGGTCACACTTGACAAGTCTTGAGGTATGGACATATGTCCTATGTCACTAATGACCTAGACCGCAATACTGTCCATGCTACATTCAGTCTTGAAAGGAACAGATCCACAAGATCTGGCTTTCTCCAAAGACCTGTAAATCCCATCTCCAGTTGGGATGTCCAGCTTAGTCTTTACCATTCAGGCTGACCCACCCCTAGTTTTTGACACTTATTGAATCCTTATAACACGCGAGCTGCTTTGGTGTGAACATGTTCACACTTTGAAACATGGGACCAAAAAAAAAGATGCAGCACATTTTTACAACTTGAAAAATGCTTGTTTTCATTTTTCTCACCTCCATAGCAAATGCTGTCTGAGTTTGAGGTGTAGCTGCTCCACCCACTGCGTTGAGCTGGTGTCTATTCAAACGCAAAGTACATAATTTAATTTTAACATATTTCAAACAATTTAATTACACCCCCACCCCCAATACACATGAGATTGAACAGTCTTAACAAAAGCAGTCCACTAGGTAACAGACCAAGTGTTAAACTCATTCACAAGAGGCCTAAAATAAAATTCTGATACAGTTCGAGCCACGTTGGGTCAATCATTTTCTGAATACTAAATAGGAATAAATAAAGAAGATTTCTCAACTTTATGTGAGAAACCTTAAACTTTATTTTTTTATTTTCAATCCACCCTTGACGTTAAAAGTGGAGTGATAATGTTTTTGCCTGTGTCTCTGTGTACAGTCTGTACTGTTAGCAAAATATCTTGTGAATCACTGGATGGATTTTATTGAAACTCTCAAAAAATAATCATTGGATGTATAACCAATTAACTTTTAGAGTCAGCCATTTCCAAGATGGCCACCACAGCCAAGTTATGAGTGAGATAATTTTACAGATTCTGAGCAAAGATTTGATGTGGTAGTAACTGAGAGTCATGCAAAACACTAGCAGATCAAGCAAGATATTTCATGAAATGACACAAAGTGATTTTATTTTTTTTGTCAAGGTTTGACCAAAGTGGCTACAACTCCATCGTTTCTCACACGATGCTCTACAACTCCGGTTTGAAATGTTCTGCATTTATTTCATGTTATTTATTTAAATCAAAGTTTTTGTTTGTTTTCAACTCTGAGGCTGACAATTCTGTCTGCTTTACACCCAAATGGAAAAACTCCAGCGTCAGCCTGCTCTGTTTGATTTAATATATTTTTTCTGCGTGACTTTGACTTTTGAAATATTAAATGTTTCACCATTTTCCACTTTTTATTGACCCCAACGTTATTATGTGACTGAAGTCTTACACCAAACGCTTCCCTGCCCCAGAACTGCAGCTCCTCCTTCATTAGATCATCTTTTTTCTTCTTTTCTGTTCTCGTCTGTCACCTGAAGCCTCTGCACGTTTCGTCAGTGTTTTTTAAACTCCTGTCATCCCTCCTCCTCCTCCTCTTCATCATCACTCTATTTCCTCAGCAGCCTTCATCCTTAATAAGGTTGTTTGCAGCCCTCCTCTTCCTGCCTCTGTCTTCTGTTTTGTGGAATCTTTTCTGCATTTCTGTTGTAACTCTTCACAGATACTCACCTCCTCCTCACCGCATCCCTTTCTCTCCAATCCTCTCTGACTCTGGCAGCTTTTCCGTGGAGCCGAGTACACCCCAGGGTGCAGATGGAAAGCCGAACAATGCAGAACAGCTTGTCACTTGGTGCGCTGCTCAGCTCAGCTCTAATGATTTTTCACTCCGGTCAGTTCTGATGGATCCAGTTGCTGCAAGGCGGCTCCACATATTTAGTTTTACAAACCAAAAACTAGTGTGACTGCAGAATATTTTAATCTTTAAGTGTAATTATTGCACCAAACGCTCAATAAATAGTATCGCCTTTCATGCCAGAGTTTGACTGAAATTATATTTTTGTTGAGAAATAAAATTTGAATCAGACCTGGAAAATTCATTCTTAAAGTTTGTATTGTGTACGACTGTCAGCTATTACCACACTAGATTTTAGTGCAATATCTACAAAACTGAACAAGTGGGACACTCATGCCCTCGACACTAAGGGATCTGAACAGTTTATAGTTTTGAAGATAACTGTTTTTCTGAACTGGAATTGAACAGAGAATGACGTAAACCTTAATGTTTTTGATGCAAGATAATCAAGTGGGTAGAAGTTACACTGTAGAGGAACAGAGGAAGTTTTTTTTTCTTGTCTGAGACAGCACAGAGTGACGGATACTGGAGAGAGGAGGAAACAGTTTTATCCACCACCAGGAGCAATAATGGAGTCAGGGGGTGGCCAATGGTGGCCTTGTCCTCCGTAGAATAATTGTGGGCCACCTCTATCATTTGAGAAAACTATACTTTTAAGCAATATAAAAACTAGAAAGCATACTTTTCTTAAATGATTGGGGTGATAAGCTTACACACACACACACACACACACACACATTTGTCTTTCGATCTTTAGAGAGACTTTGCATTGACTTCCATTTATTTTTCATTCATTTCTATAGCATTACCATGACCTTTACCCTAAACCTAACCATCACCAGTACATACCTAACACGTCCTCAATTCACACCTTTGTCCTAAACATAACCCCTAACCCACCAACGGCACTTCTTCTTATGGGGACCTGGCTTTGGGTCACATAAGGAGCAGTTGGTCCTCACAATGTAGTATAAGTTGGAAAAATGGGCCTTACAAAGTACCATAAATAAAGACGCACGCATGCACATGCATTTTTGTTTCAGGTTACCTTGTAGGGACCAATTTTACAAAAAAATCATGCATTGTGGGAACCAACTGCTGCTTATGAGGACCAAAGCTAGGTCCCCATAAGGATAAGTCTCATTGGGGGGTTAGGTTTAGGACTAAGGTATGAATTGCGGAAGGGTTAGGGTTAGGCATGTACTAGTAATGGTTAGGTTTGGGGTAAGGGTCAGGGTTAGGCTATAGAAAATGAATGGAAGTCAATGCAAAGTCCCCTAAAAGTATGTTTACAAGAACACACACACACACATATATGTATGTATGTATGGTGGCCATCTTGGATTTTGACCTGACAACCCAATTAATACTGACTTTTATGCCTAGATGCAGCCACGCATTAAAATGGTTGTCAGTACCTCACTTATTTTTCAAGTTATCAAGCTCACAACACAGATGACTGACCGAGCACTTCTGTGTGTCATGGTGAAGAAAGAGCTGAGTCGAAAGGCAAAGCTGTGTATTCATGTTCCAACCCTCACCTGTGGTCATGAGGTGTGGGCCATGACCTGAAGAACCAGATCCCAGATACAAGCAGCCAAATGATCTTCCTCCATAGGGTGGCTGGGCTCAGCCTTAGAGACAGAATGAGGAGCTTCGTCACTGGAACGGAACTTGACATATTTCTAGTTCCTCCTCTTCGGACAATCATAGCCGTTGTTGTTTTTAACATAAATAGGCTGTTGCGGCCATCTTGAATCGGACTAACTTCTAAAGTTAATAGGTGTAGATGCTGTTATTATTATGTTACATTTATTGATTATTTTCTACAAGTTTCATTAAAATTTACCCTCTAGTTCACAAGACAATTTGGTAACAGAGCCCTTTTAGTAAAAAGTGTCGTTATTCACTTTTAGAGTTAACCAAACTGATTTTAATTCTGTGTAAATGTGATAAATGTCGGGAAGCACACAACATGACAACACTGCTGCTGTCTAATAGAAAATCTGCTCTGTTGTTTAAAATTCCTGTCCTGTTTTGCCGTCAATGAACTCTGGTGTACACTGATCGATGCAATTAAGTGTTTGCAGAGAACAAATGCAAATTATTGTAATTAACTCCTCGGATTCGATCATTTCTATATGCATTTATCCTGTTTTCCTGTATGTAAATACTAATTTGTGGCTTTCCCAAACCCCAAGTTTTAATGAGATGATTTATGTTCCAGTTTAAGTCTCGTTCTGCAGAAATTCCCACACTAACTTCCTCTCCTTCTTTCTTTCTGTTCACAGATATTCAGAAGAGCCGACAAAGATGGTGAGTGAAGATCTTCGCTCTTTAATTTTGGTTTTCTGAGGCTCAAAGACGAAACGCGTCTGTGTCGGGTTGTTGTGACATTCAGCAGTTTGTTTTCATCTCACTGCGTTCAGGAAGCTCCACTTTTACTCATGACGTGTTCAAGAACTCAGAACCATGTTTTTATTAAGGGATAAAGCTTTGCTTCTATATATCATAGACCCATTTTATACACAACAGAACCATATTGTACCGTAAATGCCTTTAAAACTATAAATCTGTTATTTATTTGCTCATAATTAAACATCAGTGCCTATTTCTTGTTGATACCAAGAAATAAATAAAAAAATCACTTTAATCAAAAGTTAGTCCATATAAATGAAAAATGGTTTGTTTTTCCTAATTCCTAAACATAATCAACTGCGGCGGCCATCTTGATTTGGTTTGTGCTGAACATTTCGTAACTGGCACATTACATTCAGGTGTCTTCAGTGACTTTACTTCCTGATTACGTACATTTTATTTTGGTGATACTTGAATGAAGGCTAAGATGTCCTTAATTAATAGTTTAGTTTAATAACATATTATCTTTTTAAAGAATGAATGATTTTATTTAATCTGCAAACAACAACCTGCTGCAGCTTTTCTTCATCCTCGTTAGTTTTCAAACATCTTTGGGACTTTGTGTGTGTGTTTGCCGTCACTGCTGCAGCTCTGTATAGATTTTTAATGTTTTACTTGTTGGGACTTCATGTGTTTTCATGGAGAGTTTCTGTAGAGTTTTTTGTTAGCGAGCAGTTTTGTTTATGTTCTCTGGCATCTGCTGTTCTCTCTTTTCTTCCTGCCCAGCCTGGTTCTTTTCATCCACTACCTCTTCTTATTTCATCCTTTCACTGAGAAGAATTTAACTAATGAGGAAATGGCAGAAAAAGCTTTGCTTTTCATGACAGCCAGATGGTCATTTGTGTGTTCTTCTATCTAAGCTGATTACTCCTTTTCTTTCTCCCAGCACAGCTAGAGCTGCAACATTTATCTCTGAAAATAATAAAATCTGTGCACAACCATGAGGGTTTAATTGGTCGTTCCTTAGGCATGAGTGGAAACACATTGCTTAAGTTCAGCAAACAGGAATGATTTTAACCTGTTATCATCACCACAACCATGCCATCTTAGCAAATGCCACTATGGCTATAACTCATTTGGCTTTACAGATACTGAGCTAAAATCTGGTGTGGTAGAAGTTGAGAGTCATGAACAGCCCACATCCAGAGCTAACAGATCAGGTGATTTAAGATTTGACAAATACAGCAACAAATCCATCATTTCTCTTTAAAAAATTATTTCCATCTTCTACCATTTATCTGTAGTTGGGTCATGGAGGCAACAGATCCAGGAGGGAAACCCAGACCTCCTTCTTCCCAGCAACACTTTCCAGCTCCTCTTGGAGAACCCAAAGGTGTTCCCAGGCCAGAGAAGAAACACAATCCCTCCAACGAGTTCTGGGTCTTCCCAGTCTCTGGTTTCCTGGGTTTCTTCCCAGTGGGTCGTACCTGAAACACATTCAAAGTAAGGTGTCCATAAGGCATCCTAGTCAAATGAACCTCCTGAGCTGACTCCATTTGATGCAGAAGTGCAGTGGTTCTACTCCGAGCTCCCACCGATGACGGAGCTCCTCACCCCATCTCTAAGGCTGAGCCTGGCCATGAAGGAAGCTCATTTCAGGTGCTTGTATCTGGGATCTTCTGTTTTCTTTCATGATCTAAACCTGATGACCGCAGGTGAGGGTTGGAACGAAGACAGACCAGTAAATCCAAAACTTTGCTTTTCGACTCAACTCTTTCTTCACCATGATCGACCAAAGCAACGCCCTCATTACTTAGGATAAGGTCCTGATTTGATGATCCATCTCTCGCTCCATTCTACCATTACCCAGGAACAAGACACCCAGATACTTAAACTCCTCCACCTGAGGCAAAGGCTCCCCCACCACCCATGGGGATTTTTCCACCCATTTATGGTTAAGAACCATGACTTCAGACTTGAAAGTTGATATTTGTCTAAAACAAGCGGTGGATGATATGGCTTTCTTCAAACAATGCCTTCAATTTAAATCTTTGCACCATCCAATTACCAACTGCTCTCATGTGGAACATCACTTAGAACCATTTTTAATTTCTGCCTCTTCCAGAAGCAGCCTTCTCTCCAACAAGCTGTCGGACTGCGTGAAACTTCCTGACAACTGTCTCTTGGGGCAGTTTTGCACCAGGTGCAGCCCGTCTTTAAAGATGAGGAGCGAAGTTTGTGTTTGCCTGCACTGCTGCAGCACCCGAGCGAAGGAGAGCTGCTGGAGCAATGATGGTTATTACAGAGAAACACTGTTATTTGATGTATAGAACACAGGCTGGAGGAAAATAAAAAATCAGTGAGCATGAGCTGAGAAAGAGCTATTTTTATCCCTGTGCTCCTCTCTCCTGGGAGAGGACCGGGGAACTGTTTTAATGAGTGAGACTGAGAGAAGGGAGATGCCAAAGGGGAAAGGAGAGAATTGTTAAAAAGTAAAGTGGGTTGCAGGGGTGGGGGGAGTCTGAGAGGGAGGAGAGCGGACGAGGGGCGAGGGAATAGGAGTATCATATTTTGGGCAGTAATTGAGGTGTTGTTGGCTTTACATTCAGAGAGCGTATCTCGGAGCTGCTGAAGCTGCAGACTGGGAGGATGTGTGATGTACCGCAGATACAGACAGGGACGAATCTGTTGGTACCCTTCCACAATAGTCAAAGACATCAACTGAGCTAACTGAAACCAAAGCGCTCCAGTTTTGTCTCATCAGTCCCAGAAACTTTAGTTTTTGTCAACAAGTATTTTGGTGAACTCCTGTCTGGCTTTTTTTTAGCGTTTTTATACTGAACGTGGAGTCTCCTGGGTCTTCTTCCATGGATTTTCAAAGTATTGCAGATGGTTTGATCAGAAAAGAGATGTACCTTGACCTTAGAGTTCAACTTGAATGCTTTTGGATGGTTTCCTTTGTTCCATACGCACATCTGTCTGATCAACCTGGGGTTGCATTTCTTCTTGCAACCATGGCTTGGGAGGTTAGCTACAGTCCCATTAACATATTCCTTTTTAACAGGGGTGCAATGGTGCATGTATTTGTACCATAGCAGTTCAGTACAGACATTTTGGATGGATACGGGGAACTAGAATACCGATACGTCAGTCACAGTTAATCACTGCTCCCATCTATAGGCAGGTGCTTTATTTAGCTGTAAAGGAGCATACTATCTAAACCATATGTGTCAAACTCAAGGCCCGGGGGCTAAATGTGGCCCTCTTTGACATCTTATCTGGCCCCAAGATGTTATTTTAAATGTAAAACACTTTTATCACTTTATATTTTTTTCAGTAATATTTGATTATGATGTCAAAAGCACAACAGAGAACATCAAATGAGGCCATTCAAACTCTTGTTGAGGAATCTGCAATCAAGAAAAGATATTGGGTATCTAACGAGTTAATGTAGATTCTGAAACCGGACCATAGCTTGAAAAAGGTTTTAATTTTGGCCCCCTTTCTTAAGTGGGTTTGACACCCCTGATCTAAACACTCTAAATCAAACAAAGTGCTTCGTTCAGAAAACTGACCTGCCTGTTTGAGTCAAATCAACTGTGTTAAAAAAAAAAAAAAAAAACTCTGGTCTCAGGGATTATGAGAGGTGCATGTACACAGTCAAAATTAACAGTACAATAATTCAAATGATACATTTGATTTTTATTTATATTCTGTACCTTGATTTTGTAGCTTGAATTAAATAAAAAAACTATGCCTAATATTCAGCACAGGCCTTTTTTTTCACACTACCTTTCAGTTCATGGAGTGTTTTCACATTATGGACAAATTATTCAGTTCTGTCTCACACAGTGATGGCTGGATCTGGGCACCTGGATGTGGGATGGATGGATGGATGGATGGATGGATGGATGGATGGATTGTCTCAGTTTTAACTCATGGTCGAATTACAGAAGCAAACACTCTTTAGTCCTTTAGTTTATGTTGCATTTTATTTATTTTTCTTAAGGCACTACTTTAAAAAATCTGAGAAAAATACTTTTCTTGAGTTTATGAATCTGATTACAATAGGGACACAGTTTACAATGAAGAATGGATTAAAAAAAGACAGAAATTTTCAACTTTTGAAGTTTTATAGTGAATTTACCAGGTAACAAATCCTGTTTGGCTTTAGATTACGTTATATTGACCTTCCACACAAACAAGGGTGATTTGTTGGTAAGTAGTTATTATCTGTTAAAAATAACACTAGAACTCTGATTTGTTTCTCTTTCGTGTTGTAATGAGCCTGACTTAGGCGTCCTTTACACCTACGCCCGTCGAACACATGACGTATCTGTACGTCAGTAAACTTGCTCTTGCTCTGCCCCAAACTTTTGATCTGCTCAAGATAATTACATGAAACTTCATACACAGATGTATCTTCAGTAGACGGAGCGTTGTGTATACTTTTCATCACCTGAGCTTCAAGTTCAAGGTCGCAAATCAAGGTCAGATGTTATACAATGTCTTTGCTTGTCTGGGCCATTGTCATAGTTATTGTATAACAGTTTGTGGACGAGCGTATGATGCATGTGGTACTCTTGTTGATATTCTTATCAGCTGTGGTCAGAGGGACATGAAGCAGCTTGGCGTTGGTCTGGTAGCCTTTACTTTTAACACAGAGATGTATAATGATTATTTATGAGCTTAACAGACCTATATCACCTTTACTTTTTCTGCTCCATGTTCAGTGTGGTGCTAATAGCCCAACCAAACGACCCACTGGACGTTTATTTCCATTAAAAAGGTCCAACGCTTAGACTGAAACATGACTATACTGCAAAGATTAATAATCTCTTTAAGGTGACCAACAGTCATCTGCATGTGTGCACACCTATCTGGGCAATGTTTTTGTGTTCAATCAACGTTTATTTTGTTTTTTGGAGGGGGGGGGGGGGGGGGATCTCTGTGTTCAG